AAGCTATGGTTTTATTTTATTTTGAAACATTTGTCTACCGCTATGGAAGATTGGCTCGCGAGGCGTCACGGAACCCTCTCATACTGGCTGACGCAGGTGATCACAGGGATAGGTTGTTTCGGAGATCACCTGTGTCTGATCCGCAAGGAGCCAACGCCTGAGTGCCACCACTGCGGTGGCTGGACCGTGGACACGGCCCTCCACACGTTGGCAGAAGGCATTCTGGAGGGCGTTGTAACTTCCTATTGTTTTTAATTGAGTTATGCCCAGATCAATTTTCGGGGACAACAATCATTTATTTTACTTTATTGACTTCCCTGTGCAGGAAAAATATAAAAAAAGTAGTTAATATGTAGATAGTTCATTTGGTAAGTGAGGTGAGGCGGAATATGATAGCAAAAGCTACAGCGCGTAATGATCTAAGGAGCATGTAAATCTATACTAATATTATAAAGCTGAAGAGTTTGTTTGTTTGTTTGTTTGTTTGTTTGAACGCGCTAATCTCAGGATTTACTGGTCCGATTAAAAAAAATATTTCAGTGTTAGATAGCCCATTTATCGAGGAAGGCTACAGGCTATAATACCATCACGCTAAGACCAATAGGAGCGGAGCACCAATGAAGAATGTTTCAAAAACGGAGAAAATTTATTACTATTGAGAGACGCAGACGAAGTTGCGCGGGTCAGCTAGTACTAAGATAATCTTTAACAGTGTAACAAAAATATTAAGATACACTTGAGGCCCGTATTTTAAAAGACGTTTCAAGTATCTGTTGAGTTCTGATTATCTAAAATTAGTTTTAAGTTCAGATGAAAACTTACGCGTCGATCTTTTAATATAGAACGCGTTCTAAGTTTTACTCAGTTGGAACTAATCTTGACCATTGATTTGAACTTACAGTCTGTTCTTAATTACGTTTCCGCATGATCGACATTACTATTCCGTATTACGCAGCTAGTATTTAAAAAAAAACTTTTACAAACATAATTTCTGTGAATTTGAATATAGTATACCTACTATTAGCTAATGTAGCAATGTTAACACATTAAATATAAAAATGACTAGTTTTAAGCCATGACCATATGTGTAACAAATCCGTGTGGTGGCGGATTTAGGATACGGAATGTCGCCACCCATATTCATCCCTTGGGTGTCGTAAGAGACGACTAAGGCCGCAAACTACGCAGCACAACGGCACTGCAAAGAGAAGGGAAACTTAACACAAACCTTTTTTTTTTTTTTTTCTTCCCCCCGGACCGTCACCCCACCGGGGTTTGCGGCGGGGTGGTGTGTCGGACTCGGCACGCGGACGCCGCCCCCTCGCGGCTGGTCAAAGTAATGCGGGTGGAGGGGAAACCCACCCCGTCCACCCGCGGCCACACTCAGGGCGGCATGAGGCGCAGGTGAGCGCGCCTCCCCCGCCCGATTCGCCGGCGGCGGATCGGGTCCGAGTGGAGGTTGTCCTCCCGGGCCTTCTCCGCCGCCTCCTTCTGCGAGATTACTTCCTCGCAGAAGGTTGCGACCGCGGTAAAACAACTGTCGCTACCGGCCATGGAGCGTACTACGGCCGGTAGCGAGAGATCCACTCCGATGACTGCAGTGAGGGCCCGGCGCTGCGTCGCCCATGCGGGACAGACCGCCAGCGTGTGCTGGGCCGAGTCCTCACTGCAGTCGCAGTGGTGGCAGGCGGGACTCAGTTCCCTCCTAGCTAGCGACCGAGTGCAGGTACTTTCCGAAGCAACCGTGCCCGGAAAGCACCTGCGTCAGCCGGAAGGTAGGGTCCCGTGCTGCCGCCTTGCCCACTCGGCGACGACCGGCTGGAGAGCCTCCACGGCGGCGAAGCCAGCGCGTGGAGTCTCCAGCCGGAACGACCAACGAGCCATCGTGGCTCGGCGAGCGGCTTCGCGCCACTCGCGCACGTCTTCGGGCGGAGGGCGAAATCCGCTCTCCGCCCGGGAGTCAGCCACTCGCCGATAAACTTTGGCGAGCACTTCCGCCTCCAAATCCGCCGCCCACACCGGTGCACCGTATAGTGTCATTGACCGGACAACCCTCGTGTACAGCCGTCTTGTCGCGACGCTGGGTCCACCCAAATTGGGTAAAAGTCGCCCTAGGGCAGACGCAGCGCCGACCAGCTTTGGAGCAAGCTGTCGGAAGTGCTCGTCGAAGAGCCACCTCCCGTCAAGGATCAGACCCAGATACTTCATCTGGGCCTGAACCTGTACGAGGACCGAGTTGACCACGATTGAGGCGCCAGGGGGTGGACCACGACGGGGCCCATGAAATAAGAGAGCCTCCGTCTTATCTAGGGCCACCCGTAAGCCCAGCGCCTCAATGCGCCCGACCACCAGGGAGACTCCGCTTGTGGCCAGGCGCGCCGCCTCTTGGAAGTTCGCCCCCCGGGCTGTCACCAGAGTATCATCTGCGTAACAAATTACACCCAGCCCGGGGGGGGAAATCGGCTCGAAGGGCCCAGTCGTACCCTATGTTCCACAAGAGGGGTCCAAGAACAGACCCCCGTGGAACACCGCACGACATGGGCCGACACCTCGAATTACCATCTCGGTCCTCGTACACGACGGTACGCTCCTCTAAATAGTCTGCCACTAGCCGCCTCAGGTACTTTGGCACCCCATGATAGTGGAGTGCTTCCCTGATGCAGCTGAATGCAACTGCAACAAAACTCAACACAAACCCTATATCAACCCGTCTGGCCAGCGTGGTGTAGTAGGCCAAAACCTCCTTTCTAAGGAAAGGCCATGCCCAGCTGTGGACTATTAAAGTTACTATTACCGTCCCCCTCCTCAGAGTGAAAAAAAAGAATTTTTACACAGTTTAATAAAATTCATCATGATGTAGGTGCATAAAAGTCGTAAAAGTTAAAAATGTTATTAAGGTACAAGGTTCAAATACTTCGGATTCGACATTTTTAGCGTTGAATATGTCCATATAAAACCAAAAAAACTGTTATTATAACTTATTACAGAATTGCTCTTGCACTAATCGTGCTCGTACAAGGAAAAAACTTAGTTTTAGTTTTTTAGCATCTAAATTAGTTTTATCAAAAATGAGGACTATCTCATTAATCTTCTGGACATTAAATAAAGGTGTTTGTCTTGCTATAACCTTGCTATGACCGGTAATTTGATAATTATACAAACAAATTTGAAAAGATATAGCGCCAATCCTCAGGAAATTAATGAAGGAATTGCCACTATTTAAAAAAAAAGTTATTGATTTTATGTACAACGAAATAATATGTAACTAATTTAGTAATGTAGTTTTAGTTTACAGAAGAAATTATATTCTAATGGATCGATGGGTCGCATAGACTAGACTTGATCACTATTAATATTAACTTATAACAACTGCTACTTTAATTTTAGGTACGATCATGTAAATTCGCAGCGACGTATGTACTTATATATAGAGTAGTACTAGTACACCCCCAAATTAGGTAATTATTTCCACATCTTCCTGTGAGCCTCTTCGGCTTTAAATCTACTACGATACGTCTAAATTTCGATTTTTACGGGGAGCAACTGCCATCAGTCCTCTACAACCTCTTACACGTTTATTATGTGTGTAGACAGCCATTTGTTTTTCTAACGTTCAGTAGTTTTCCCAGACTATTGTTATTTTGAAAAAAAATGGACAGAATGAAAATAATTTTAATTTAATTAAAATCTGCTGTAAAAGTGGCATAAAATTACATGGAACAAATGGTACAAAAATCGTATTTTTAAGGTTACATCAGTACCATGTAAAACTGGCTTCATGGAGCTACTGGGAATAAACTCATGAAATATTCTATTTTTAATTTTTTGCCTTCCTAAAAATAGAGTTATTGGTGTACCTGGTGGCAATCAATTAATAGAAGTTCATTTGCTAAAATATTATTTATCAATTTTCCAATGGAAAGTCTCAAAAACAGCGAGTAACATAGGCTACTTTTTTACAGCTGTAACCAACATAAACGCGGGCGGAGCCGCGGGCAAAAGCTGTTATCGATATATATTCGTGTTTTTTTGTATTACCTATCAATATTACCATATTTTGCCACGCAATCGACTGAAATCGATCAATATTCCAATTGATTAGTTCAATGTTTCATTTTGTTCGATCATATGTAAAATTTAGTACTCCTTCAGCCGCAACTGGGTCATATTTTGATTGACTTAGTTTCGTAGAATGCCTTAAATATAGGAAAGACGCTTATTACTCAAATAAACCGCGCTCTATGTATGTGAATAGTGAATCTATACAAATAAAAAAATTGCGAGTGTCTGTTTGTAATATTAAAATAACCGCTTTTTACTAAATGCATATGTATGTTTACACGGTACATATGCCAAAATAACATTTTTTACAATTTTTCTCTGTCTGTCTGTCTGTTTGTTGCGGGTAATCTCTGGAACGGCTGGACGGGACTTTCACTGGCAGATAGCTGATGAAATATTAATAAGGAGTAACTTAGGCTACTTTTTTTAGACTAGCTTCGCCCCGCGGCGTTGCCCGCGGTTATAACAACAAAGGCGGGTAACACCGCGGGTCTCAGCTAGTAATGCAATAAAAATGTGAATAATGCAATAAAAAATTAGTTCCTGGGGGGAAGTAATTTTTTATTGCATGATTCACATTCTCCTGGGGTCATACGGAATCCAGGAAATCATGGCGCTTATTCTTTACTAACGTGAATACCATCATTCCTGATGGTTTTCATCAATATAACAGATGTCATGGAAATTTTGCGGCCGCCTCTCGGTCCAGTAGAGGGAGCGGGTCTACATAATCAAGCCTACGTATTTTGTGTTCTATTTTAAGTGTATTATCTTACTAACAATAGTTCTATAGTTTATAATATATTTTAGTTTATATATATATATATATATATTTTTGTCGGCAATTATAAGCGACATAATATCGTCTAAAATGCCATTATAAATAAGCATATGCAATAGACAATAAGTTTATATCTAACTTTTCGCCTCGCTTACAGATTGTCGACCCATACCGTTGGCTAGAAGACCCCGATTCGAACGAAACCAAAGAGTTCATAGAGGCAGAGAACAAAATCACAAGGCCGTACCTGGACGCATGCCCTGTCAAATGTGACGTCAATCAGAGACTCACCGAGCTCTGGAACTACCCCAAATACTCATGCCCCTTCAGAAGGGGAAACAAATATTTCTTCTTCAAAAATACCGGATTACAGAATCAAAAGTAAGTTCGATATGATGTATTTTTGATGAAAATTTACTATATCTACTTATAATATCTTAAAAATCTTTATAGTTGTAGTTGGTAAGATATACCTCGACATTTGTCTGACCTACCATTTCTTTTTTGTGATTTATAGCGGTAAAGTTCCGAAATTTAAAAGTAAAATCTCTCTTGTAAAATCTGTCATTCTGTGAAGTTATCATAAAACCTTTTATCTATAGTTTATTTCAATACAAGTGATTATACCTCTGGGAAATAAACACCGTGGTATAAAATTAGAAATTGTAGTAAACGACTTAGCCATTGTCTAAATAATAATAAAGCTCTTCACTCAATTCGTCTGGTGTGACAGCTATTGACAGTACTACCAAATGTCTAACCGGTATTCCCGCTACCGATAAATTACTCCATCGTCAATGCCGTAATCGGTAACAGAACAATTTAATTTGTTAAACAAAATAATCGAAAAGTACGAAATAGTACGCAATTTTCTTAATACTATTATGTACATAATATTTATTTCTCCGGTTTGCCCTACCCTAGAATAAATCCTGGCTACGCCCCTGCATAGTAAATTTCTGTAACTGCCTGTTACTATCCTTAACATAAATAAAACTCTGTATATATAAAGGAATAGAAACATTTCCAAGTACAAAGTTATGTTTACATTTAAGATAGGATTTAGCAAATGCATCATAAGACACCTTACTATAATACTAAGTTTACACTTGCCTGATAATTGAAAAGACTACAAATCAATTACCTTACTCTATATAGTATAAAATAGGGTTTATGTTCCCCCAGTGTATTATACGTGCAAGACAGCCTGGAAGGAGAGCCCCGTGTGTTCCTAGACCCAAACACACTGTCCGAGGATGGCACGGTCGCACTCTCAGGGTCGCGCTTCACAGAGGACGGCAACACTTTTGCGTACGGCCTCTCCGCCAGCGGCTCCGACTGGATCACTATACACCTGAAAGATGTCGCTACAGGTTCTTATCCATCTCATTTTTAATTATACTTATAAGAAACCAAACAAGTGCCCAACACGTTTTTCATAAGCTCACGCTTAGGGTCACCGGTGAGTACTACTGTATAACCCTCATAGGCGTCCTTAGAACGCCCTACCAAAGTTTCAACACAATTCATCACAAGGAACAAACTGTCGATCATTAGATTTATTTACATCTGTATCTATCCCTACGAGGAAATGTCAAATAATTATTTTGTTTCAGGTGAAGATTATCCAGAAGTTCTAGAAAAGGTGAAATTCGCGTCAATGTCATGGACTAAAGACAACAAAGGTTTATTTTATTCTGTAAGTACTTCTAACCCGAGTATATATTAACTACGATTTACCTGTGCTTTACCGACATTGACCACGTCACGTCGTGCTTGTGTTCTTGGCCTACGTGTTTTTGAGTCTAGGATACAATTTGCCTATGTCATTCAATTAGGTATGTTATAAGTGCTACAGTCACGTAATGGGGTCGTGAAATTTTTACGTGAACGGTTTGAAGGTTTTTTAGGTTTTGTAATAGTCGTCATTCGCACAAAATGTCTATCAAGTCGAATGATTAGGACTGACTTAGAAAATGTGACAAATAGAAAATATGCAGTCTCGATTATTACACGATGAGATACAGTGTTAAACATAATCATTGTATAAAATAAATCTGTATATAAACTGCTGGACACGATTTTAATTATTTAATATACTTAGACTTATACGTAGACTTGAAGGTATGCAACCGTTCATATATTATTATTTAAATAAACTTATAATCCATCGTGAAACTTGATGCATTTAACTTTATTAAATTAATAGCATAAACTGCTATTTGCTTTTTATAAAAACGATTGCTATTTACTTCTGAATACTACTTACAGAAATTATTATTCCAATAGTACTCTTATTTAGAAACTAGCTGGTACCCACGACTTCGTCTATGAGGCCTCGGATTCGATTCGGACCTGGCAAAAAATTCTAGGGTTTTAGAGAGGAAATCGGTCCAGCCGTTTTGAAGATTACCGCGAACAAACAGACAGACAGACAAAAAATATTTAATCTGGTTTCTGGAAGGGGGGAGTCGGCGAAGTGTGACATTGTATGACAAAGGTGGAAGGGGTCCTATAATTTGTGACGTAACGTTTTAAAACCTAATAAATCTAAGTATCAAAATGCGAAATTTGAATTATTTACAGTATCATAGAATTAATTACTTTTTATATTTTTATTTTTACTTTAAATACATAATACTGCTATAAAATTGCAAAATATGTGCTGTCTAACTGAGAGGGGAGGCTCATAAATGTGACTAGCTGTGACAAGGACAAGGGGGTGGGGGTCAAAAAACAATAAACCTTGTGTGACGTAATTTATATGTGACCCTTAGTAACTTATTCGATAGATTTTTTGTAACATGAATTTTAGTTTCAAATAAAAACGGTTAAACTAATATAACTAATAAATGTGTAATTACTAATAGTTTATAAAGTACTTGACCATCTTTTTATTTTCGACTTGTTTTTTAACCATTCCAAATCTGCTACTTGCCTTCATCCATTCTTAATCATTCGTGTTTCTCTATTTCTTCTGTTTTATCTAGTGTACGATTGAGTTATTACTTTAGATGAAGTATTCAACCTTATAACCTACGACTACCAATTATAAACATCTCATCTATACATCTATACAAATAAATAAAATTGGAGTGTATGTTTGTAATATTAAAATAACCGCTTTTTAAATGCATATGTATGTTTACACGGTACATATGCCAATATAACATTTTTTACAATTTTTGTCTGTCTGTTTGTTCTGTCTCAGCTAGTTACTTATATAATTTACTTTAACTAACATTTTAATGTGCTTGTTCGTAATATAGTAAAACGCGTGAATAAATTAATGCTATCAATTACATAAAACTCCCTGATTTTTAAAAACCTTACTCTTAAATTGACAATATGAACGTTGAAATTTTTTTACCACATGTTTTGTAATGTAAAAAAGATTATATCTTTTTTTAATTTTGTAACAAATCAATCCATTATGTATGTGTATATATACTTCTAGAGGTATCCGGAGCAGACGGGCAAAACGGACGGATCGGAAACAGAAGTAAACCGCGACCAGAAGCTGTGTTACCATCGCCTCAACACTCCACAGTCTGAGGACGTCATCACTGTTGAATTCCCCGAAGAACCCCTATGGAGGATGTTAGTATTTATAATAGTCATACCTTCAATTTTATTTAAGGCTACATTTTAACTGCATTTTTAATAAAGCCGTGGGCGGCCTCCAATTGAAATATACTTAACAGGCTTCACTGACAACTTAACATTTACTACCCTTGTTAAGCTCCAAATAAGAGGTCGGCTATCTTAGAACCAATTATAAATTAAAACTACTACCCTTAGAAGTGATATTTTTTCTTCTAATTTGCAAATAAAAAGTTTCCTTATCGGTTTATAAATTACTTAGTTCTGAGGTAATAAATAAACAAGCTAATTTAATGAAAAAAAAAAAACAAAACCCGACTGCGTGAAAATGTATAGGTACTTAAAATTTGCAACCTCGAGATTTTTATGACCCTGTATAGTGATACTGGTTGGCAAACAAACCCAGTATAGTGATACTGTGAGTGCACAGTTAAGGCGAATCTAAAGACACCTCCCAAGCCAAAATCCATCAAGCCGTTTAGGCTACAGAAAGTGCCAAAGAAATAAAAATAGAATATATACACTCGAAAAACATAACCCTTCTAAACCAAATTATCAACTTACTTTTTGAAATCAATATAATTTACCAAATGTTATAGGTAGGTACATAGTATCTGATGTAAAAAAACGGTGTCCATCCGTTTGTTTGTCCGATTTCTTTTCACTAGACGACAATTTGGCTAAAGGCGATTATAAATTGACACAGGCTGTTTCACATTGTGTTTTATTTTACATTAACATTGTTTCTTAATTTTAACCTATTCCAACTTTGTCTCTGTTGATCTACAAAATTCAATTATTTAAGACCGACCTATGGAGTGTACTTTTCCATCTTGCATAACAACGAGAAATTAATAAATTAATCATGAAATATTACTTTGTGTATATTATAATTATTCTAGCTTAATTTTTTATTGATAATATAGGAAAAAATGCACAAATGTATAATATAATTAATTAACTACAGACGTTTATATAACCAATACAAATGAAAGCCCATTATATGGATCTGACTCTGACTATGTAACTAACCACCGCTATTGTTGCCCAATAGTATACTGGATTAATTAAAATTATTTTGACAATGGCCGCGTTTATTCCTAAATGAATAAATCTTTACATGTTTGTTCAAAGTGTAACCATTGACTTTTATTTATCTGCAGAGATACGCACACTCAAATCAGAAGCGATATTGATGAGCCCTCGTACGTGTTTCAAAACTTCTTTGATTTTTGTAACTAGTTGGTATGATTTCGTATAGTTACGCTTTGAATGAACATTTAGTTTTTAGACTGATCATAGACTTCGATAGATTGTAGTTTCATTCCCTTAGTACTACTTTTCAATCTTTAGGTATTTTAAACTATTTTATTTGATATTTTTCCTGAATGAACGTTACCCTGTATTCCTGTTGTTTTCTGGCACAGTGTATGCAGAATCTTATGTATGGCGAGCATAATATATGTGTAATACACATAGATAGATATGGAAAATGAATAATTAAGTAAATAAATTAAATAAAAATATATTTGCCACCTATACAAATTCTGTTTGAATCGCGGAAACAGAAGTACTTTAATATTTATTTAACAATAAATTTCTTAGAACTGTCCACAACTTCCGTTAGTCATGCATTATTAATACTGCAATACACTTGTAGCGACTGCTCTACAAGGACGCATACTCGGCAATAAATCAACCCACGCATTAATTAAGTATAGTCTCTAATAATAAAACGGTCCTGCAGTGCATTTGTAACACGTGCGAGTCCTAACTAGTAAATATATTCGCTTTAAGAAAATAATGACGCATCAGCTTTTGTACAAAACGATAATTTCTTGAAATCTGATAGGTCAGGCGGCAGGGCTTGACCGAGTCGTCACTATTTTCTTAAGGCGAATAGACTATCCATACTAATTATATAAATGTGGAAGTATTATTATTATATATTTATAGTTTGTTTGTTCCGCTTTCAAGCCTAAACCACTAAACCGATTTTAAAAATTCTTTCACCAATGGAAAGCTACATTATCAGCGAATAATATAGACTACTTTTTACCGCGATAACGGACATACACGTGGTCGGTTCCTAATATAGCTATTAGTATATAAATCAATCCAAATCTAAAAATATGTGTTGGAACTCGTTTACATTTTAATTCAATAATATACAATGTATTTCAATAGTTACTTCATAACCACACAACATAGTCCACTATATAGTCGTAATAATATTGTCAACTCCAAATTAAACGATGTGCATCGTGTCATTATAAAAATAAGTAAATATAAATTTATGTTCATACAAATTATATTTGTCTTTAAACAGGATGTGATACTTTCATGTATTATCTATGAGTAAACATAGCTTCGAGAACAGTCTACATTCGTCAATACACAATACAATAAATGTTATTATGTTAGTACATATCTGTATGCCTAAACCAACAATACATTATACAATAAAACTTGCAGAGGTGCTGAGGTGACAGACTGTGGGAGGTACCTGATCGTGTCCCCAGTGAAGGACTGCAGAGACAACCTGCTATTCTTCGCTGATCTCAGCAAGACGCCCGAGATCAACGGCAAGCTTAACTTGACACAGATCGTGCACAAGTTCGAAGCCGACTATGAGGTTTGTACGACTTATCACATTTACAGACTAATAATAACATTCTCTATAAAAATTTATTTTATAGAGTTAAGTATCAATAGTTTAATATAAAGCAGGAGCTTAATCAAATGCACTATGCACATTATTAATAATTGTAAATGACTTTCTGAAATAGTAAATAAAAAATAATAACGATATTCGTTTTTAGGATATTTAAAAGACCTCGTAATAAATTATAAGTATAACTGTAATAATATCAAATTATACTAATTAAGAATATTACAAAAGAAAAGTTTGCAAAAAAAATTTAATAACGCCGTTTTGAATGTCCCATAAATATATCGTGTCTATCACCATTTAAATTTCAAATATCCAGCAATTGTTTAACCGTGAATTTAGTTTATCTACTCTTATTTATAAATTCGTCCATAAGATGATAAATTATATGATTTATATTACAGTACATTACAAACGAAGGTTCCATGGCCATATTCCGTACAAACAAAAACGCACCTAATTATAGACTGATCAAGATCGACTTGCACAACCCCGCCGAAGAGAACTGGCAAACTCTGTTACCTGTAAGTGAACTGACTCACTCTAATATCATGTGGTTTATTTAGTTAACTACAGATTAAACATCCGTGCCCAGTAAATTATTGATGGGCTTGTTGGTCTAGTGATTAGTGACCCTGATTGCTAAGCCTGAGGTCGTGGCTTCGATTCCCACCCAGGGCAAATGATCTGTGATGAGCGCGATAATTTGTTGTGTCTGGGTGTAAGTTACCTATAGTATGTATGTATTTAGAAATATATAAGTATGTTTATCAGCAGGTTGGTTACCATAGTACAGGCTCTGTCTAGTTCAGGATCAGACTGCTGTGTGTGAGATGTCTGAAGTTATTATTATTATTAACAAAAATGCTTTCAAGGCACAAAGTCCTTTTATTATTCATGTTATAGGTGGCAAACGAGCAGACCGGTCACTAGATAATAAGTGACTACGCTACCCATGGACTGCGTATTTGTTACCACTCTTTGAGACCCCTCCCCCCAAATTCGGTGAAAGCAACGAAAGATTTCTTAGCACTTTGTTTTCTGGTTTCTTAACACTCGGGTTTTCTGTGATGCCTCGGTGTTAACAATAGCTCATTACAGCGACCCGACACTCACAGCATGGCTCTCCCACTATAAATATATTTAAATATAAATCTGTTGGCAATATTTGTCAGAAGCAGAATTTGTATCAATGAAGTAATGTTTTTTTTTATTATTGCATTACAGGAACATCCCACTGATGTTTTAGACTGGGCGTCTGCGGTAGACAACGATAAACTCGTCATTCACTATGTCAGAGATGTAAAGGTAACATAAATCAAATTGAACTTGAACAATATAAATCCTATTTCTTCTGAATAACAAAAAAAAATTTCTATCATACAGAGATAGATATAGGAATATTTATTTTCCCTTTTTAACACTTTCGATTTTCTATAATGATGTACATAAACGGGCATTAACTGACTTGGGTGACACTCTCTGGTCACAGCCACTGCAAAGGTATGTAACAACTCCTGATCGCATTAATTCCCGTGTACATGTTCATAATTATATATGGTACATAGAAATACCAATACTGTATTAACTTAACACAGTAGTAGGAAACATTCATGCATACAAATATTTGCACTAAAATCAAACGCGTGACAATTAAAGTACCAAAGAACCAGTGAAGTGTCAGATGATGATATAAAACATATTATTATGATGTTGATTAAAATGAATAGTTTCGTTTCAGAGTGTGTTGCAACTGCACGATATGCGTTCAGGCGATCTTCTCCAAACGTTCGACTTAGACGTAGGTTCCGTGGTCGGGTTTTCCGGAAAGAAGGAGCAGACGGAGATCTTCTATCATTTTATGTCTTTCCTCACACCCGGTGTCATCTACCATGTTGATTTCAAGAAAAAACCTTACAAACCAACGGTAAGTCCATACAATGTTTGTAATATTTGCTTTAGAAACTTTGCTTACTTTAATATATGCAAACTCTTTCGTATGATTCACAAAATGGATATTCTATAAAGAAGTGTGGCAACAATTTCCACATCGCGCCATCTAACCACGACACACCGAACCACGGAGTAACTGCTAATCCTATATCGCGTTATGAATAATTCTCACGCCGATTAGCATATATACAACTTCCCTACATCGACTGTTAATCACTTCGTCTTGACGAAGGCGCCTCCCTTTGTGTTATCCTCCATATAAGGATGAATTTATTTCTCCCTTGCATTGCGTTGAAACATTTGCTCATATGTAGTCACTGCCGTTCATAGTCGTTACCTTTACCGTTTACTCTATTGTCTAGGTGTCGTTGAAGTAGCTGTCCAGCTGGTCTTTTTTACGAAATAATTTATTACTAGACTAACAAACTTGCTTAAGTCTAATTTAGTAAATTGAGACTAAAATTCAAATTTGGTTCTAGATACGTATTTGTATTTAAGGTAGCCAATACAACATGCCTTTTTGTACCTATTATGTACGCACGCATGCATACTATTTTTCACTTGGCAATTGTCAAGAGGGTGGCAAAAACAAATATCGAAAAGAAATTGAATTGCACGCGGACGTCTCAATAGGTAGCGGCGGACCATGCCGTAATTTAATATTCTGTGTTACTGAAATATAAATGTATGAAAATAATTTAGTGTTAATTTTTTTTTTTAACTATTCACGACCATTCTTTTCAGGTGTTCCGAGAGGTGAAAGTAAAGGGTTTCGACCCGTCCCAGTATGAAGCCAAACAGATATTCTACTCAAGTAAAGATGGCACTAAAGTGCCTATGTTTATTGTTTCCAAAAAGGTAAGAGATATTATTTATTAGGATAGATTATTTCTCGGTATTGCAAGCCGTACTTAATTAATTATGTGAGTTAATAATTAATAAGTATATGGTAACTTCAAGTGATTACAAATTGAAAGAGAGAATATTTTATCTTTTTTGAAGTAATATGTACTTGCCCAGCGTAACATCTTTAAGATGTTCGTGATTTTGTTACACTCTTTCTACCTTGATCAATTAATCTATCGCAGTTCACTGTCTCATGGTTAAATAGATCAAATGATTTTATAAAAATGAATGAATGTGTATAATTACCGATTAATAATAAACTTTATAATATTTGTATGTTATCCAATTCTTTATCAAAAACTTTTTGTTGAAGGGTTTGGCACGTGACGGGTCGAACCCGGCGCTGATCTACGGCTACGGAGGGTTCAACATCAACATCCAACCGAGCTTTAGCGTCACTCGTCTAGTGTTTATGCAACATTTCAATGGTGTTGTCGCCATACCCAACATACGAGGCGGGGGGTAAGTTTGAGATTATTCTCACTCAAATTGGTTCATTTCGATCGGCTGTGATTAGTAATTGTCAGATCATCAGAGAGACATTATAGTCAGGGTATTCTCGAACCTTCAAACTCACGACTTCACACGGCCAAATCAATAAGAATCAGGGTCTACTATCTCAAGTCACTAGCTGTACCCTGCCACGCTTCACTGTGGCATATTGTCTTGCATTGATGAGAAATGAAGAACAAAACTGATACGAAAAATGGATAAAAACCAGTTTCGTTGTACATCGTTTTGAGTTTTTAAAGCGTACAAAAACCAAGTTAACCTTTTATATTTATGTAGATAAACTGTCTATTAAAAGGGCTGTCACTGATTTCGCGTAACAATCAAAAAGAAAATATAAGACCTTAACAAATCGTACGATCATACGATATTGATCGCCTTTTCCTACAGCGATAACACGAAGAGAATTCTGTTCTCTAAATAACAAATAACTTTACCCAACAGTGAGTACGGAGAGAGATGGCACAACGCGGGTCGGCTGCTCAAGAAACAGAACGTATTCGACGACTTCCAAGCCGCCGCCGAGTACTTGATCAAGGAGCAGTACACCAAGCCGTCGCTCGTGACCATCCAGGGCGGCTCCAACGGCGGGCTGCTGGTGGCCGCCTGCATCAACCAGCGCCCCGACCTCTACGGGGCCGCCATCGTGCAGGTCGGGTGAGTTCTGAGCTCGCTGGATTTCATACACTCTACTCTTTGTAATCCGCGTGGTGATGGATTAAGAATACGGAGTGTCGCTACCCCCTATTCATCCCGTGGGTGTCGTAGGAGCCGACTAAGTGAGCAAACTACGCAGAACAACAGCACTGCAAAGAGAAGGAAAACTTGACACAAACCCTGACTTATTTTTAAAGCGAAGAATGGCTTTCGCATCATTCCCCCCGTTTGGGAAACATAAGACGTGTGTGGGACTCCCGGAGAACCGGTCTACCAACTAAACCCCGCGGCGGCCTACCTCGGCAGTTGGGAGGAGCTCCAGAAACGCATCGGCGGATTCTGACGCCCCCCTCCCCCACCCCCATTCCCCGGCCGCACCGGAGTGTCACGTGTCTCGGGTCGTTTGCAGCGGCCACATCACCCCAAGATGTAGCCGCAGCAACCCTTAGGCAGCGATCTATGTCCAGCAGTGAACTATTAAAGGCTGTTGATGATGATGGCTCTTGACTCGTTGATGTTCCTAAGAGGTACTGGACAACGTTAGACAATTGACAGTGGAATGGAATTTTAAATTCAAAAATTGAGAGTAAAACTTGGGACGTAATAAAAAACTTCTATCCCCCATATGCTAATCCCAATACATCTTACTACTTTCATAAACATATTTCACCTTATGTTGATGCGCGTTGACTCCGACGCCTTCTCACTGTTCTATTTCATATTGTTATTTGTACTAATATATTTTTTCAAAATAATTGATTCAACATTGTTTGTTCTCAGCGTGTTAGATATGCTCCGGTTCCAGAAATTCACGATCGGTCACGCTTGGGTGTCTGACTACGGCAGCTCGGATAATAAAACACAGTTCGAATACTTGCTCAAGTATTCGCCTCTACATAATATTCACAAACCCATGAATGGTAAATTATTTTAGAAAAACTCTTAATATTACATTACCGTATCGGTATTGGTTGTAGATAGTACATTACCGTAAAAAAATATTTGCAAATGGCGATGCGTCGCCACGCGTATAGTCGGTCTGACTCTCCGCATTAGATGTTTCACACCAATATAATATATTGCTTTTACAAAACTAGGACAAGAAAAGGAGATGACCACAAGGTTGACTGCATATTTCGCTATGAAGCTACTTATACTTACTGACTCACGTGTGGTGTCGTTTGTGTAGGGACGGAGTACCCGGCGACGCTGATCCTGACGGCCGACCACGACGACCGCGTGGTGCCGCTGCACTCGCTCAAGTTCATCGCCGCGCTGCAGCACGCCGCCACCGCGCGCGGAGCTCACCAGCGCCGCCCGCTGCTCGCGCGCATCGACAACAAGGCGGGCCACGGCGGGGGGAAGCCCACCGCCAAGATTGTAAGTGCACCCTGTACTCGCTACGGCGCATCGACAACAAGGCGGGCCACGGCGGGGGGAAGCCCACCGCCAAGATTGTAAGTGCACCCTGTACTCGCTACGGCGCATCGACAACAAGGCGGGCCACGGCGGGGGGAAGCCCACCGCCAAGATTGTAAGTGCACCCTGTACTCGCTACGGCGCATCGACAACAAGGCGGGCGACGGCGGGGGGAAACCCACCGCCAAGATTGTAAGTGCACCCTGTACTCGCTACGGCGCATCGACAACAAGGCGGGCCACGGCGGGGGGAAACCCACCGCCAAGATTGTAAGTGCACCCTGTACTCGCTACGGCGCATCGACAACAAGGCGGGCCACGGCGGGGGGAAACCCACCGCCAAGATTGTAAGTGCACCCTGTACTCGCTACGGCGCATCGACAACACGGCGGGGGGAAGCCCACCGCCAAGATTGTAAGTGCACCCTGTACTCGCTACGGCGCATCGACAACAAGGCGGGCCACGGCGGGGGGAAGCCCACCGCCAAGATTGTAAGTGCACCCTGTACTCGCTACGGCGCATCGACAACAAGGCGGGCCACGGCGGGGGGAAGCCCACCGCCAAGATTATAAGTGCACCCTGTACTCGCTACGGCGCATCGACAACAAGGCGGGCCACGGCGGGGGGAAGCCCACCGCCAAGATTGTAAGTGCACCCTGTACTCGCTACGGCGCATCGACAACAAGGCGGGCCACGGCGGGGGGAAGCCCACCGCCAAGATTGTAAGTGCACCCTGTACTCGCTACGGCGCATCGACAACAAGGCGGGCCACGGCGGGGGGAAACCCACCGCCAAGATTGTAAGTGCACCCTGTACTCGCTACGGCGCATCGACAACAAGGCGGGCCACGGCGGGGGGAAGCCCACCGCCAAGGTTGTAAGTGCACCCTGTACCCGCAGGCTACTGTATACACCCCAAACAGCCAACCAGATCAAAACCAGTTTTTAATCTTACAAAAACAATACAAATTAAGAGTTTTTGACACTGTTACTTATACTCCTCAATCCATTTGTACAAGGTTACTGTTGATTCTCCTTTCTTTCCCGAAATACTGCTTGACGACAATAGGCATAGCCCCTAGTACACAGTGCCTGACTAAAGCCAAATCGTACTGAAGGTGCTGAATTTAGTTTTGCCGTACTTTGGAACATATAGTATCTAAAAATATGTGAATGTATGTATGATTTTTATTGTATTTATATTGTTTCAGATCGATGAACACACCGACATTTTGTGCTTTATGAGCCAAGCGCTCGATCTGAAGTTTTACAAATAACCCACCGACCATATCCAACAAATAGTATTTAATGAGATAAACTCGTATAGTATTATGTAAATATACCAACAAACAGTGTGTCGATGAATTACCTCGGGGTCTTTTCTGAGACTGGTGATATTGTTACGCATTGCTACTATTTTTTATTAATAAAACTTTGTTTTTATTTTTGAAAATGTGTTTAATTTTATAAGTTGCATGTTATAAAACAAAAGGGATATGACAAGATCCGTTTTAAAGAAGTAACAACTTTTCCTTTTTTTCTAACGATTTCAGATTTTTAAAGACAACACAGTTTAACTTTTAGAAGGGACGGACGGACAAGTTTAATATCTCGCAAATGTAAATCATAAAAATCAAGAAAATCATAAACAAATGATTTTGGTAATGTTAACTTGTTGACAGTAATGACAACTCATTTGAGACAGGTTGTCATTGTCAGCCAGCCATACCAATGACAGCCATCGACTTGGACAGCCCACGAAGCAAATACCTACAGAGTTTTCTAATTAGATTTCCCTATGTAACAACGCGTGACAATTTTCGGGTGAGGGGGTTAAGCTCCGCCCACTTCACTTTTATCCATCTACCAACCGTTAGCAAAAGTACACGCATGGTTCTATATCAATGTTGCTTTCTGTTTAGCTATCTCACTCACACCAGGTGTGGGATGTAAGGGAGGGACGTACTCTGAATTTTCGTTCCAGTGAGTTTTTTTTAAGATTAATATTCTGAACCATCTTGATCACTACATCTATTGAAAATCTACAAAAATCTTACTTATATTATAGTCGTACTAACCTCCCTAAGATTATAAGGCGAAAGTATATGTGTTCTGACGTTCTCGTTCACTTATCCCACGCTATGTAGTGTGTATGTAAGGAAAAAAGTATCGATACTTTGTGATATCAGGTACGTTTTGTTTCGATACCGATACTATTGTACTCGATACTTTTACGCAATGAGTACTTTTTGCCAGGTATCGTATCGAATAAATTGTAGAAATTATCGTAAATTTTAAACTTAACCTTACCGCTCATGTTTATGGCAATGTCATCTAGTTGAATTGTACTGAACCTTCTAAAACGTAACATTGAGCTCGAAATCGTTCCCTCCGTTCACAGGAGTTCAGTTCCTATCCTTTCTTTCTATTTGCTTCATATTCACTTTCAGGATGCCGGAGCTTGTGCAAAAACAATTTAATAGGTCTTTACCTATGAAATTGCCGTTTTGTATGCAATAAGTGAAAGTACTTATTTTTTCAAACTTTTTTATTTCTGTTATTCGAAGTAATCACCCATGCAATCGACGCATCTTTGCCAACGCATTGGCAGTTTATTGATCATTATTGATTTTCTTGTAAAAATCAGCTGGACGGGAGGCAACAAACTCTTCAAAGGCATTTTGTACTGCCTCTCGGGAATTAAATTTTTTACCCACTAAAAAGTTGTCTAAATTTTGGAAAAAGTAATAGTCGGTAGGTGCAAGGTCTGGTGAGTATGGCGGGCTCGCCTACAAAAATAAAAGAACTGTGTTTTACACTTCATTGTGGACAATTTTGATCACCTGACGTCATGTCTCGTTTTAATTAGTTTATAGAAAATCAATAGAAAGTACCTACCAATTACCTACTACACAAAAACTTAAGTATGTAGGTATACCTACCTATACTCATATTATTTTATATGACACACACTAGATTAGAAGAGATCATTAGCACAATGCCGTCCGTTTTACTTGCGCATGAAAGAGACAACGTTATGTCTTCAAGGCTTTAAGTTTGGTTTTAAACCGAATCAAATCGATCATTTATATCGTTTGAAAACAATGAAAAAAATGTTTATTTACCATCAGTGTTTTTAACTCTTCAATAGTTTTTATAGCTTAGGGTGTGCGTTACCCCAGCAAAATAATGTCGAAAATGGTCATTTAAACGTTATAGATAATTAGTTGCTCCTCTTCTGTAATTGTTAAGCACATTTTTAAATTTGTTTCACTTAAACTTTTTTAGTTATTTCAAAAAAACATTTCCTGCTGGGGTAACGTTTGAAACGTTACCGCAGCCAGACATTTTCTTTTTTAATTGTAATATTGAAATAAATTTTAGCTAAATAATTAGTTATCTGGACTAGGTAAATGTTACAACTTATTTGGTATTTGTATTTTCTTCGGCTGCGAAGTTATTCGAAATCCTGCTGGAGTAACGTTTGTGGGTTTGCTGGATCTCTGAAACGGGTAAGCGGATTGTTACCATCTTTTGTACATAACTTCTTAAGGATTAGTTTTAATTTGTTCGACAATAAAATAACAAAAATAATGGACCGTTTAAAAATTATTTAGGTAAGTATGAAAACACTTAAATACGTCCTAACACTTTAAATAAGACCTCTTTAGACTTACTTGAAACGTTATTCTATTGCTTGTAACTACCTTCAAATGTATACGAATTTTCGTAGGAATACTGTAAGTGACTAAAAAGTTATGATGAAATGTAGCTCTCCACGTTCACGATCAAAATGTATGCGGCCTTTTTTGGCCACCGATAAACCTGTGTGTGGATATATAAACTGAATGTCATGCCAATAATTAGTTGTTTAGTTCAGTTGTCTACCTGTAGAATTTCAGCGTCGTACATATAATAATTTACGAAATAATTAAATAAAAGTCATTAGAAGGTGCAAGTCCGTGGTAATCCGACCATGTTTAGGTGGTTACAATAAAGCGATCACCCAGTACATTGCGCTGTCTTTTAAAATGTTTAGTGTAATACACCTTACGATTTCGGTACAGTTGCGTACAGTGTTGAATACATTCAATATTTATTCATTATTATTACCTATTATTTATTTTGTTTTTTTCCCTAATTGATCTTACGCACTAGTTTCTTTACTTAAAATTTATTTAGTCTTTTTTACTACCGGAGCTACAATCAACAGAAAATCTGCACTGGTCCGCTAAAATTATAAATATGTAGATACATGTATGAACGATTCACCTGACTGCAATAAAACTAAAATTTAAACCAATAAGAAATCGTTTCATTTATTTGATATTTTTTTTGTAAAGAAATAACACTAAAGTAATTGTATTTTATTTTGGGGTGTATAGAGCTTAGACTTGAATGCATCAAAATATTTAAAGCAACAAGTTATCTACAATAAGTTAAAATAGACCGAATAGTAGAAGAATACAGTTGTAAATTAGAATGCATCAACATTGCATTGCCCAACAGCCGTATACCTCGTAAGAGTAGGTAATATTGTTCTGTGGTCTATACCTAGAACCGAGAATTATCTATACCTATGTACCTACCGTTAAGCGTTGAGCCAGTTACTGTTGATTTCTGTTAAAAACGAACAGTTGTTGAATGATATTTTGATATAATAACGGTAATTTAATTTATCGAGTGAAAGTGATACATTTTTATAGATAAAATTATTGGTCAGATAATATTTGTCAATCAAGAATCGCTGATAATACATCCTTCGCTAGAACGCGGGAGGGGAGGGGCGAAGGGATACTTCATTGTTTGCAATTTGCATCTAGTGCACTAAACTTGACCCTTAGGCAGATAATATACGTGTTGTAAAGTACGTGTGCGCTGCCGCTTTCTATTTTTGCAAATATTTATCGTATTCTTGAGAGTTCTTCAATATGTGTGTACCTAATTACTAATAATAGGCATTAATGCTAATTCGATTCAATTTAAGTAATTGTCAATTCTTGTCTTAGGATATTAATTACTAATGCTCATATTGAAATTTCGTTCAGGGTGAACAAATTAAAAACGATCATAGGTACGACCATCTTTAAGGTAGACAACGATCATCTTTTAGGTAGGTATATCACTTATTACTAATTTACTAAACTACTAAACATTATTACAGAAATAATGCAATACAGAGTTTGTTCGCGATATGCTAGCCTAAGTCGATTCATCACTTAAAAAAATCCCCATCTATTCACAAAATACCTATTTACAACGCATACGTTACACTCTTCAAAACTTATCATTTCATTTCATATTTCTTAAATTACCTATACCTACCCTAAAATTAAACTTCAATTAACAAATACTACGCAGGTACCAATTCTATGAACAACTATAAACAATTCACCTAAACATTACGAGAAAACAAAAGCATTCAAAATAATACCTAATCTCCCGGCTGATTACTAATTATGCAATAAACAATCCTAAATAAAAAATATTTAAAAAACATGTAGTTTTTTGTAACACTTATGTACATATCCGTAGTAAACTTACAAATAATATCCTACATATTTTAAAAGCCAGCACAATGTACTGGGTGATCGCTTTTTTGTAACCACCTAAACATGGTCGGGTTACCACGGTCTTGCACCTTCTAATGACTTTTATTTAATTATCTCGTAAATAATTATATGTACTACGCTGAAATTTAACAGGTAGACAACTGAACTAAACAACTAATTATTGGCATAACATTCAGTTTATATATCCACACACAGGTTTATCGGTGGCCAAAAAAGGCCGCACACATTGTGATCGTGAACGTGGAGAGCTACATTTCATCATAACTTTTTAGTCACTTACAGTATTCTTACGAAAATTCGTATACATTTGAAGGTAGTTACAAGCAATAGAATAACGTTTCAAGTAAGTCTAAAGAGGTCTTATTTAAAGTGTTAGGACGTATTTAAGTGTTTTCATACTTACCTAAATAATTTTTAAACGGTCCATTATTTTTGATATTTTATTGTCGAACAAATTAAAACTAATCCTTAAGAAGTTATGTACAAAAGATGGTTACAATCCGCTTACCCGTTTCAGAGATCCAGCAAACCCACAAACGTTACTCCAGCAGGATTTCGAATAACTTCGCAACCGAAGAAAATACAAATACCAAATAAGTTGTAACATTTACCTAGTCCAGATAACTAATTATTTAGCTAAAATTTATTTCAATATTACAATTAAAAAAGAAAATGTCTGGCTGCGGTAACGTTTCAAACGTTACTTCAGCAGGAAATGTTTTTTTGAAATAACTAAAAAAGTTTAAGTGAAACAAATTTAAAAATGTGCTTAACAATTACAGAAGGGGAGCAACTAATTATCTATAAAGTTTAAATGACCATTTTCGACATTATTTTGCTGGGGTAACGCACACTAGCTTAGGTAGGTAATACTTACGCTTGTTAGGACGGACCAACTAGAAACTAGAACTAAACCCGCTAAGTATATCAATATCAGTATATCACACATAAAAAAATCTTTACACAGTTTGTAGGTACTACGTCATATCAATACCTCGGTATAATCAAGAAAATGTAGTTATAATTAAGAAAAACAGTCATCAACGCCAATCGTTTTAAATCGAAAGAAAATGGTTAATTTCGATTTTAAACTGATTTATTTAATTGGTTTTAAACGGTCTTACATCTATAATCACAGTGCAGTTGCTTACGCCTCTCCTATTTGTGGGACAGCCTATATGTAAACTACAAACCGAAATAACTTAAAAACGCAAAATTTTAAAAAATCTGGTAATTAAAACTAATTGTTTATAATATCAATAATCCCTACCACGACACATGTGGCGGTACAAAAGGCCCATACATGCTTGCCAATACTTATTACTAGGTAAATTTCGGTTTTGCTGTATTGACCAGTCGAAGAGCTAAGCCGCGGACGGACGGATAAACGGACTGGGCGAGATTATAGGAGTTACTAGTACTACTACGGAACCGTAAAGTAGGTTGTGTAAGTACAATACTAATACAGACCAAGTGCTCACTTTTCATCTTTATATTAACTAGATACAAATGAACTTGTACAACATTTGCACAGAGTGTGAATTGATTTCTCAACCCCTGACATTGAAAGTAGAATGCGGCCGTCAAAAAAAAAAATGAAACAAAACTGATAATATTCAACTTTTATTGTTATATCCTTACAGTACAGTTGCTAAAAGCACGAAATCCAATTGGGACTTGCTCCAACCTACGTAATAATATAAAATATTAGTTGCTTACAACAAAATAAATAAACTTCTTAATGCCCTTTTGGCGTTTTTCTTTATCCAATAATAAGTTCATTTCTTTATGCTTAGTTACTTATGCAACTTTCAACATGAAGAAATAGATCAATGGCCTCGATTTAAAATCATTTCAACATACAAATGAAGAAGTCAGCATATCACTACAGATAGTTCAATACATATTTACTTATAGTAGTGTCATAATAACTACAGTCGTACTTAATCTCGGCTATGAGATAATTTGCACAATGTCGGACCCATTACAATGAAATGTACAATCAGTAGTTACAGAACATACAATTGACCGGTTCCTGGGTCCCATTTGGATAGCATTCTCGCAACATACTCGTCAATATTACATTAATCCATTCAAGATATGATTTTATTTTAGTGATAAATATCGGACCGATCAATTATATCACACTTATTATATTTTAATATCTAGAAAAAACATTGCTTATATGTGATTACGCTATACTAGTCAGTTACGTGTAAGGTACATGCATTAATCATATAAGTTACACGGAGCCTAATAAGAGACCTTCAACCTTACGCTAAATCGATAGGAAGCATACAACTACAGACTTCAACATCACGCAGTCTCACCATATCACACTAAAATTACACATTTCATAGCTTGGGTCTAGGAAATACTTTTACACGCTCACTAGCGGTCAGTTAAAAATCGAGGCCACATATCGTTTTAATCGCCGCAACCACCGCGGAGTCCTAAAGCACAGGAATATAGCAGCGGAGGCACAGTCAGGCCGCACCTGCCTTTACACCCACAGCCGACGAGAGCCGCGGCGATTACTACCGTACGCTAAACTAATGAGACACCATGGCCGCATGATGTAACTTTAGCTTCTTTGGGACGGCGCGACCACCGCGAGGGCGGGCCGGGGACACCTCCGCGACTCGACCGTGAGTCGTAGTTCTAAACTATCCCAAACTAGAGCTGAGCCGGTGCGAGTCGAGTCGCGGGCTGCGGGTCGCCGGTGGTCGCCGCTTCGATGTCCCTAAGAAACTGTTTTGGTTTGGCTTCACAGCCCAGTTTCGATACAATATTCGTTCCTACATAATTTTAATGATATAGTTATTTTCAAATACACACTATTATAATAATATAACAGGCGACTCACTTCAAGCCGATGACTGACAAACTTTGAGTTCTCGTATGGCTTGTGTCTTTTAAAATTAATTTGAGATGAGCTATACCTTAGGATAATAACGAGGCTAATGAAATAAATGTCAAATAGTACCCTAATTTGTGAGCGAAACGACATATTACCGGGCAACGAAAAATAAAATAAACTAAATAGTTTTCTACAGGACGTCATGTATAACAAAAAATATACATTTGTAATTCTTAAAAATATGAACGCTTCATAGAGGAAATAAACTAAAAAGTTGTTGCAAGATTCGAGATCATACAGAAACGTCGTGAATATATCAGAGCCAGAAACGGCACAGTATTTAAGTAGTGTGTAGTCGCCCCGAACATTTCGTGCTGTGAAATATTCACATGTACTAGATATTGCAATAGTCAAGGATCAGAACGAACGTGACGAATCATGAACTAACAACAAACTGTGGCGCTCACTCCGCGATGCCGTTGCTCACCGCACTCGGCTTGGCGCCACTCACGCCCACGGTCTGCAAGCTGCAACAAAGTGGCACCGTGAGATTATCCATCGACAACTTATCGTATTGCACCGTAACGTATGGACCTTCCAGAGCCTTTTATTTGCTACAAAGGGCTAACGAAAGACAAGATTGCACAGATGGCGTAGTGGTTTAAGCTGTCAACTCGCCGCTTCCGCGCTGTGTGGGTTCGATTCCCATATGGGACAACACTGTGTGATCCACAAACCCTTTTTCTGAGTCTTCGTGTTCTTTGTGTTCGTTTCATAAGTGTTTTAAGTCCCTCGCGACACAGGATAATATTCCTAGTGCAGGAGTGGTATTTAAAAAAAAAGCAAAACAGACAACAACAACTATAAAGAACAGTAATAATAATAATATAATAATAATATTGTACCACATTCACACAACGCCATCTAGTCCCAAACTAAGCAGAGCTTGTACTATGGGTACTAGATAACTGATATAAATACATATATACTTTTTTTTTTGTAAATACATACTTATTTTACATAGAAACACCCAGACCAAATCAAACATTAAATGTTCATGCACACAAATGTTTGACTTGAGCGGGAATCGAACCCGCGACCTTTGGAATAGCAGTCCGTTACACAGACCACTACGCCATTCGGTCGTAGTAATGAACGACATCGATGAGGGGTCGGTGGAAGTGCCGTACCTGTGCGCGGGCGCGTCGAGCCCCATGAGCGCGAGCGCCCGCAGCGCGGCCCGCGAGCACTGCTCGTGCGAGTGCTGCGTGCTGGGCCCGCCGCCGTGGCACATCACCGGCGGCTCCGTCGACAGCGACACGAGCGACAGGTACTCGCCGTGGTTGCGCTGTTACATACGAATCGTTAAGGAACAAATCACTGGCAATGGTCTTCTGTTTACCGAAGTTTACCGGAAACAAATAAAATAAAAAAGTTACGTGTTTCGTTACGCAGCGGCGTAATGAAACGGCGCGCCGCATCATAAATTCTCACCATACTTGCGGGCCTGGGTCGGGCCATAATATTTAGTGACCCTGACCTTACCTAGGCTCTACCTGGCTCTAGGCTCTGCCCGGTTTGAGATCAGACAGCCGTGTGTGAGATGAAGTTATTATTTTCACTTTTTTTTACTGGAATGATTTATCGGCACGTATACCATACACTCGTAATAAAATTATAACTGTGGAATAAACAACTGAGGGCTTAGTGTATTTGACTCGATATCGGCCCGAACTAAAGTGTTCACCGATCGCAAGGCCAAACGCGGTCATCGTGACCATAGAGTAGAAATGAAATACAAAGGGCCTAGTGTAGGACTGCATGAGAGGAAATACCTTGGGGAAGTCAGAGAACTGTACGGTGAAGCCGAGCAGCTGCGACAGGTACATGAGCTGGTCCGTGGCGCCCGGCGTGTTGCCGCCCGCGCCGCCCGTCGCGCTCGACTCGCTCACGCCTGCAACGGAACGACCCCCACTCTCTAACTTATACGAACATATATTGTGTAAAAGACACTGTCAGATCAGATTAGACAATAAACGCGTTTATTGCACAAAAGTAAAAGCAGAATAAGACAGCTTAATTCAATTTAATTGAATATTCATCTTTTATATAAAATTTTCGTGTCACATGTTCGTTCCCGTACTCCTCCGAAACGGCTTGACGTATTCTCATGAAATTTTGTGTGCACATCGGGTAGGTCTGAGAATCGGCCAGCATCTATTTTTCATACCCCTAAATGGTAAGGGTGACCCATCCCCAATTTTTTTTTTTTGGCAAAACAACGTTTGACGGGTCAGCTAGTAATATTATAATATGACATAAGGTATAATATATTAAGTGTCGTTAATTTTTAATAACTTAATGATATATACTCATATATAAATGAGTTAATTCTTACACTATAGTATAGCGTTATTGCATAAGTAGTTTGTACTCGGTTTTCGTCAATTTCAGATTGTAGTAACGATATTTGATTAAAATTATTATCGGACACGACTATAAGAGTAAATAACAATGCTTGCTAATAATGAACCGCGCGCTGATATTGTACAAGGTAGTGGTACCGTTAGGTTGGTGCGGCTGTCCGGAGCGCTGATGGTAGTCCATGAGCAGCACGCCGGGGACGGGCTGGCGCACGTCGGCGCTGGCGCCGCCCGCAGCGCTCGCCCCACCCTCAGTCTCCTGTCGATGGACAGTATGCGAGTTTGTTTATGGTGTCACTCTGTAACGGTCTAGTTTAAAGCGCACGTTTCGAACTGCGAGTATCGAAGGATTTAATTTTAAAGCACATCGATGTCTTAAACTTACCTTTCTTTTAATATCGCTATTGTTTGTGCTCTTGCTGTCTCCGGTGACTTTGCCACTGACGTCGGAACCGTCGGTCGAGATTAAGGCGGTTACGCCGTCGGTGGTCTTGGCGCTCATTTCCATCGCTAACAGTACATCTGTAAGAGACATTCGACATTAAAGGTCGGTATGAAGGTCGCAAAGCGTGCGCAGTAGGTGCGTACGTACTGTGCGCGGCGCGACGCTTGGCGGTCTTCTTGTTGGGCCCGAGGCCGGTGGCGGAGTGCGGCGGCGCGTCGCACTGCACGAGGAACTCGCGGCGGCGCGCGGCGCCTCGCTCCTCCAGCACGCGGTACTGCGGCGAGCGCGCGCGCACCGCGTGGCGCGCCACGGCCAGCCGCGAGATGGGGTTGTCCGCGCCGCCCGGCGACCCGCCGCCGTTCGCCGCCCCCTCCGTCGGCTCCGGCTACGGACACTCAACTTTGATAAGAGACCCTAGGAAGGATACGCTCATCCCCTACACCTTTTTTTTCTGTGCGGAAATCCCCTCGGATACCAATTTCCGATGGCAATATCGGACTCGAACCGACTAACACCGCACGCCATCTCAGGTATCGGGGAACCCGGGCACGCCGTCATTGCGGCGGTAAGACCCGTTATGGAGGATTGGCTCGAGAGGCGTCACGGGACCCTCTCATACCGATTGACGCAGGTGATCACTGGGAAGGGATGTTTCGGAGATCACCTGTGTCTGATCCGCAAGGAGCCAACGCCTGAGTGCCACCACTGCGATGGCCAGACCGTGGACACGGCTCTCCACACGCTGGCAGAGTGCCCGGCGTGGGTTGAGCAGAGGCGAGACCTCGTGGCGGCCATCGGAGTGGGAGTTCTCTCGCTCGATAGCCTGATTGCGGCTATCGTGCGGAGCGAGAGTGCGTGGAACTCTGCCGTCTCCTTCTGCGAGCAAGTTATTCTCGCGAAGGAGACGGCGGAGCGGGACCGGGAGAGGTTTAGAACTCTCCCGGCCCGCCAGGCCCGGGCACGGGCCAGGCAGCGCAGGCGACTCAGGCGCCGGAGGTCGCAGAACGACCTCCGTCCTCCATAAGCGCAGGCCTGGGGGTGACAGGTGAGGCCATCTGTCACCCTAGCAGAAGCAGGCCGGGGTGGCGGCGAGCGCGTTGCGAAGCGCGCTCGCTTCCAGGGAGCACAGGGAACATGGGGTTCCCACACGGGGCGGGGGTCGTCTACTCGTCTGTAGATGACCCGAGGTATGTCGGGGCACCAGGGCCTTCCTTTCTAGGGTATACCTGGTTCCCCGGCTATTAGTACCCGGCGAAGGCGTGCGGTTTTAGTCGGTTCGAGTCCGACATGCCACCGACAGGTGGTATCCGAGGGGATTTCCGCACGGAAAAAAAAAAAAAAATAAAAAAAAAGGTATCGGGGAACCAGGTGTACCCTAGAAAGGAAATCCCTGGTGCCCCGGCCCGCTTCTGCCGGTTGCCGCTTTATAGAAGATGGAGGTCGGCATCCTCTTACACCTCAAAATCAGCATCATGCCGTATTCCAAACCGAGCGAATGAATCGATGGCCGAGTGAGATAGGCCCGTCCGGCCGCGCGTTACCTTGATGAGGTTCCTCGGTTTCTTTTTGGCGGGTTGCGGGCGGCGCTTGTCGTGCGGAGGGCGAGCGCGCAGCAGGGCGGGTGGCCAGCGGCGCCGCATCTCGTCTAACATGCGCTCGGCCGCGCGCCGCTTGGACACCTTCTTGCCGTTGCCTTCGCCCTCCGTCTCCATGTCGCCCACCGTACACACCGTTATGAACACCTGATGAATTTTTCTTTAGAATTAATCTTGATCTCTGATTAGTCTTAGTAATGTGAACTAAGCTTTGTATTCCCCTTTGAATATTAGTTATTCAACGGATTAAATACAAAAAATTAAAGAGCAACTTCGTGTAACAGTGTTATTTAAAAGAAATAAAATAAGTATATCAATGGAGTAAAAGCCAAGCGATAAATTCACAATTGATACATTACTAAAAAAACTTTACTATCAGAATATGATATATTTCAAAACTATTTTGTGTTTATATCAAAAACTTACTATGTTGTTATTTTTTCGACAGTATCAATATCAACCAAATAGTAGGCCAAAACCTCCTTTCTAAGGAGAGGCCTATGTCCATCAGTGGACTATCAAAGGCTGTTGATGATGATGATGATCAATATCAACGCAAACAATACCGGCAGAATGCTCACCCTCATGTGCGGCGGGCCTCGTTCAGATTTCACAGTAAACTGAACTGAAAGATTACGTTTAAGCGCGAGCTCGTGCACCAACGACACGGGCGACTTCACTTCAGAGCTCAGTAGGTCTGCGCTCCCATCTCCTAGAAGAAAATGATATATTTTTATTTACTTGAACTTCATTCACATGCCACTGTACCGGTCATCCTTGGGTCGCATACAGGTGTCACAAAAAAAAAAAAACATGAGCATTGGTAACTTGATACGGATACGGATTGACGGTGCAAACGATAGGTAAATGTACTATAGAGGCTGACCTTGGTCGTCGACGTGCGGCGGCTCGGTGTCGGCGCGGTCGGGCGGCGGGCGCAGGTCGTGCAGCGCGCGCGCCGCCGCGTCGTGACGCGCGGCCTGCGGCGTGGCGCCCTCGCCCAGCCACGCGTTCCCTCCCACGGCCACGCGCACGCGGTACAGCAGCGCGGGCGCGGCGTACGCGGGCGCAAGCAGCGCGTGCGTGCGGAAGGCCGGCCCGCGGCGAACTGAAACGTGCGCAGGGACCTGTCATTCACTCCCTAGTGCCGACGAAAACCGATGCACTATTTTACAACCTTATCCCTTCGATCCCTCTTGTGCGTTAGTTTTTCTTATGTAATCTTCTGAAAACGCAATGACTGTGATGAGGATAAAAATACACGGTAATAACTTGCCTTAAAATAGTAACAATTTTGATATTATCGTCGAAAAGTACTGACCGGGACTGTGCAACGAGAAGTCGGCAAAATCAATTATGATTTGAAGAATAAGCGCGCGTTAGATGTTGCAAGTGCATCTCATATCATCACCATTTTTGTCCTAATACAATTAGATATTGGTAGATTTTAAATCATTCAGTATGGTTTTTTATAATGCATTGTACAGCACGCACCTAAACGTGTCGGGCCTGCGACGGGTGGTACCGATGTATATATTGCTGGCTGACAGAGTTTCATCGCTAGAGCGTTTAACTCTACTGTCGGCATTACCGCTCCTGGAACACAAAATAGTGTACAAATAATAATGAATATAGTGATGGCTACTGTTTGACTCGATACTCGTAAACTTCATGATGACTTGCTAGAACATTATTTTTGAATACATTTATACATTATTTCGAGGATGTGAGAAAATGTCTGAGGGTGACAGGAGAGATCATCAGTCACCCTAGCAGAAGCAGGCCAAAGTGGCGGCGTAGATGGACCGAGGTACGTCGGGGTGCCAGGGATTTCTTTTCTAGGGTACACCTGGTTCCCCAGCTAGTACCCGAGACGGCGTGGTTTTTGGTCGGTTCGAGTCCGAAAGAGCCACCGGTGGATGGTATCTGAGTGGATTTAAGCACAGACAAAAAGTTCTAAGTCGGATTTTTGCTCGATTCAACTAATAAGGAATGTTGACAAACTGATATGAAAAACTGAAATGAAGAAAAAAATAATGAAAACGACTAGTTTAAAAACATCAGTATAAAAAAGTAATGATCAGTACGTACCGGCGTGGCGGTGGTGCGGGTGCGCGGCGGCGTGCGGGGCGGGTGCGCGGGGCGGGGGCGGCGGGAAGTGCGTGGCCGCCAGCGCCGTGCTCGCCGCGCAGTGCTGCGCGCGCTTTATCGACGAGCCCTGACACACATTGCCATTCTTTAAACCGGTACTGCAGTAGCATGGTAATTAAATATACGTGCCTTTTGATAACGAGTTGTTAAAGAGGAGGACCCCTTGAAGCTCTGACAAGACTAATTTGATAACTGTTCCCAATCAATATCGAACAATATGAAAGAAGTGTTGAACAATACGAACTAGTTCTTCCAAAATTGAATGCAAACTCATCACATTAAAAAAAATATTCATGTAAGACGATGTAGCAATATAATTGGCTGAAAATTAGAGATTGCACACGATACAGTACATTTTTATGAGCGAGTCGCATACCTCTGCAGTATATTCTTCAGTATCACCCAATCGGAGTGTTACTGTGAATACTTTCTTGTGCGCGGGTCCCGTCTCTGATGTGAGGCGATATTGATGCTTAATCTGTAAAGAACCCAGCCATTTCCATTACATTTCAAGAAAGCTACAACAATATTTTTTATGATAAATAAAAAAACCAAACGAAACAACAATTTACATTAATATTCGAATACCTTATTGTACCTAGCCAACTCGTTGACCAGGCACATAGGAGTCTTCTCTTTACTGTTGGCCTGAGCGGTTGCAGGGCGAGACGCCTCGGAGTCGCCCTGTACCGCAGCGTCAGCGTCGGGCGCGGGTGGCCCGCTTGTCGCGCCCGCGCTGCTCGTGTCCCCACCCGCCTTTTCTGGTGCACTCGCCGCACTGGGCGCGTTGCTTGTTGTGACTTGTGGGATTGGTGGCTTTGGCACTACTAACAACGTTCAAATTCAATAAGCATAATATTTTCTAGGAAAATTATTTGGTGATAGCTGGGCGAGAACTCCTATCTAGGTTTCCTGGATAGGAACCTAGAATGTTAACAGTTTTTAGAATTTGTTGTTATAATGCTCTGAAAATGACTATATGTTGTCGAAACCATTAAGAATGAAAAGTTTTTACTGACCAGTGTGTTGTGGTGGGTGTTGTGGCGCGGGGGGTTGCATGCGCGGCGGTTGCGCGTATGGCGAAGGCATGACGCCGCCCGATGGGCCGTACCCACCGCCCACCGCATAAGGCCGACGAAGTGGCTTCATTTGTTGCTGGAACAAGTACACTCATTAGTTCGCGCCGGCTGTTGGGCTAGAGGATATATGATTAAAAAAAAATATTTATTGACTTTCCGTTAATCCTTTTTGTGACTTTTTATATAAAACACTTATTAAAGTTGTTATAAATTGCCTAAGATGTTTCTAGACACTTGATTACCTGCTCAAGGCCATATTTATGCGACTTATGGGTAACCTACATTTCTTTTTACACTATTTCTTATTTTACATTGCAAACCAAAATAACTTAACATTATGTCTCTCGTAGCAAGTGCAAAGAACTGTCAGATAAACTTGCGAAAGCCTTTAGACTCGTTTAATCCGACCCTGTCGTAAAAACCGTTTTTAACTGACGTGTACTACATGTATAAATTATCACCATGTTAAATTTCAGTGCCCACTGCCACTTCCGCTTGCTAATACGGTGGGCCAATTCGATGACCTTGGTTCTCTGCCGTATCAACTCATTAATGAAGTGATCCCTTAGAAAAACTCTGCGACTCTAAGCTTGTGGACGTAAGTGTCCACGTTTCGACTTCGTATGTCATGACGAGTAAGGCGCACAAATTGAGGATTTTCGTCTTAAGGCACTGAGGGATCCACGATGAGAAGACTGGATGAAGCTTCCCAAATGCTCCCAACCCAACAGAATTCTTCTATTCACCTCGTCCTCGTAGTTGTTCCTACCTAACTGCAATGTCTGCCCTCATTAATCTTTGTAATGAACAAAAATTGACGAAACCTAGATCTATGGGGGAAGACATATGCTACGGCAAAGTTTGGTGAAACCTGAAACTGATCATTTGAGAGTGCATAGCTATTAGTACTGACCGGTGGCACGGAGTGGTGCTGTGCTTGCGGATGATGTGGCATAGCCCTGATGGGGTGAGGCGGTCGCTGCGGTGGTGGCACACCCATGGCGGCACCCATCCCCAGCGACGGCCCGTGTGCACTCATAGCGCCTCCAGCTGCACCCGGTCCTAGTGGCACCCTTCACATACAACACTCAGTCAATACCATACATGTTCCGTAAAACAATTGCCACTTTAAAGCAAAAGCAAAAGGATCATGTGGTTTTCTTTCTATTGCAGACCGCATCGAACAACGATTTAATAGCGACAAAACTTGATAGAAAGTAACCCTTCCAGCTCCGATGTCACCAGGGCACTGTTATTCCAACTGTCTGTCGACAGTCAATGTATATAATATATTAGTCTGAGTAAAGAAAGGTGGTTTCGTATTCAAAACTTCAGGTCTCCGGCCGTCAATAGAGACGTCGTCATATGTTTCATTGTGAAATTCATTCACAACCAGTTTATGCGACAAAGAGCGCCGCAAAAGACCCTCGACAAATCAACAAATTACATAAAATTTGCATATCAATGGAGCCACCAGGTCTTGGTCTAATAAGGACAGTGTAATTTTATTAAATGGTGTCAATGTTTGAGTAGCCAACATATTCAGTTATTATTCATACAAAGTGTATAGTAATAAGAACCTATAGAGAATCATGTTTGCCTACACTAAAATCATTGACTGAATTCAACAATTGTGGCCATTACAAGTATTGTGTAAAACTCTATGTAACATTATTAAGAGTTTTATTAAATAAATCTCTAAGAAACAGTTATCTAAAACTTTCTATTTATTTAAAATATAATTTGTGTAAAAAATTTAAATTTGCCATATAAATTTAAATTTGCACAACTTTTAAACATCTGCTGAGTAAAATCTAACTGTTAACTAGTGACAGGGTTTCATAACAAACTTTTAAAAACATTTAACGCACAGCATAAATGGTTTATATGAAAATAACCCTATTAAGTTTTGACCTCCTTGATGTGGTAGTGAGAATGGGATCATTCTCACTACCACATTCCTTAGTTACAGCACAGCACAAAGAATGCAGTAGTGCTGCAATGGCGACAATTGACCTATAGTCATGTCACATGTTATCATTTTGACCACTTCCACATCGCCTGAGGGATACATACTGAACATTTCAAGAAGATATTTGTATACATTTGTTTTGTTTCATATAGTTTTAAAAAGATAAATTAAATTATATTATAAATACAATTGTGAGTTTCTTACTTTGTTATGTTTACTGAAAATAGTACTGTTATAGGGATAAAATAAATGTTCTAGTATTGAAATAAAAATATGTACAATTAAATTATAGTTAAATTAAATTCTAACTGGACTATATTGATTTACTCATAATAAGAAAAAATCATATGGCCTTGCATTAGAAATATAGTGATATCTGATTCATGTCATCATCATCATCAATAAACTAGAACTAAGACGTAAGCCTCTCCTTAGAAAGGAGGTTTTGGCCTACTATACTACACTGGCCAAATAGGTTTTTATAGTTCTCTTATCTCTTGATTCATATGAATTAAGTATATTCATACTTTTGAAGAATAATGATGAATGTAGGAATGAATTGAGCACTAATATCAAGATATAAACTTAAAAGTTCCTATTCATGATGCAAGTGATACAAGCAACCCTATGATAAGGTATTAAAAGCTATGTATTTTCTTTAGAATGTTAAATACAAGAGTCATAGTGGAGGCCAATCATGGTCATCATGGGAACCTTTGACGTGATGAGGCAGTGACATTCTTATGCACTTCAAGTATCAACTTAAATTTTCTGAAAGTTATGAGTTTAGAATTGTGATATATTAAGGTAAAATTATAAGAGTGCATGATGAAGACAAAATGAGTGCACCTGTATCAGTGTCACAGGCATCCCTTAAATTTGGTGTCTTTAACGTGGAATAGTGTGACGGTTCTATTAAAGAGAAGTAGGTCTAGTCATATAAACAACAGAGCTCATAGTATGTTGTTTACATATTAAATATACAGCTAGACTAAAAGAGAGTAGGAGCAGGAGAGTAATGTGTTTTAAACCAACTTTTTTGTGCAAAAAATAATGTTTGGGGGCACCTAATCATTTTAATTTCTTAAACTTAAGCAGCATAGTAAGTACTTTATTTTCTTATTTCATATGTAGTAGTTAACCAATTTGAATCTATTAAGGAATATTTAACAAGACTCAATAAGTAATAAGTAACTTTTTATTTATTTAGTGTTTATAACAGTAATAAATAGTGTTGTATGTTGTTGTTGTTTATAATGCAAGTTTAAAATGTACAACTTTTAAACAATATTTATTTGTTACAGAGACTTCTGACAGTCTAAGTGAAATATCATATGTACAAAAAGTTAATTGTGTATTACAAACTAAGATTTTTGACCAAGTTGGTGATTGTTAGCAGTACAAATCAGTGCAAGATAATATATAAAGGGATAAAAGGTTATAGACATTATTCACAGTTATTATTTTTAGAGCATGACAGGATCGAAGTAGTAAACAAAGTAATGGCATAAGAACTGTAGAAGGTAGAAACAAAAACAACAAATGTGATATCTGTAAGATTGGGTTTACTACCTAATATGACCTATTTAGTATGCATTCGTTTAAAGACTACGCAATCTAAAACGGATCTAGGTTGTGATTGTTGATGCTAAATAATGTAACGTACGTGCTCTAAAAGAAAATCAGAGTTCAAAGCATTATAAGCAAATATAATAATGTAATGAAAAGCCGAACTTTACTCTACCTAGTCAGTGTTACGTGCCTGTTCTCTCTATGCATTTGATGTGGAGGCATCTGATGGTGTGTAGGCATGCCCTGATGCCCGCCCATGTGTTGCGGCGGGTGCCCAGACATTGGCTGATGATGCATGTTCGGGTGATGCATCATCTTCACGAGCCACTGCCGTTGCAACACAAACAAACTATAAATATCGCTATATTTCACCAAATAAACACCGCAAAATTTTGATCATCAATTACGTTCCAACTCACTGATTTTCTTACCCTTTTTAAACTTTACGAGCAAATCAATATCTTTGCTATGCAATCAACATAAATCCGCTCACTAATTACACCTATATTAGTTTATTTTGGCAAACAGTAAAGAAAATCGTTTTGTTCAACATGCGGCCATGTTAAAAATGTTGCCATACGAATTTTTGTAAAATGGATACACTGTAATTATTTGCTGAATACTACTACAAAGTTTTAAGAACACTTATTGTAGTATTTGTAACAAGATTTACACTATACACACAGTTAAAGACTAGCTCAGAACAAACTCTAATTTTTTTTAATATAAAATAGTAAAACCAAAAACGGACATTCGTTCCGACGTTTAGACACTTCGTCTCTTGCTTTCTATAATTCTTGAATAGAAATTAAAAGAAGACCACCATTTATAAACACCAGTTTTAAATAATAAAATCTAAGGACATGGTTTAATGACACCAAAAGCTAAAAAGAAAACGATGCATCGCATGCAACGATACAAAGCTTCCTCTTAAAGTTACGCGTGGACCTTTTGCTGCTACATTTAAATAGCATATTTCCAAATCGTTAAAAATTTTCTCAGTCAATATCTCAGTGTATCACTTATGTGTTTGTATTTTGTACCCATGATATTGTACAGTAAATATCCAAATTTAAAATCATATATTTAAAAAAGGATTATATTTTTATCACTGGGCTCGTGGCTAAGTGGTAACCGAGTTAAAATTACTAGCATTCAGTACCTCCTGATGTGTAATAAATATGTAATAATCATAAACTAAAGTTAAACTAATTATGATCTCATATTAAACGACTCGAGTTCTTTACGTAAAAGACTCGCGACTCAGCCTTGAACCTCTTGGTCAAGAACCCGAGACGTTTTATTGATTCGAGTCTTTTTTAATGACTCGAGGTTTTTTATAAGCCTCAAGTCGTAATTTTGGAGTCGAGTCTTCAAAATCAAGACTACTTTTAATTGTAAAGATTAATAAGCCTCGAGTCTTTTCATCACTAGCATCTGTTCTCTTGTCATTTCTCCCCTGTACCATTTATTAAGAGGGACATGCCGAAAAACAATCCTGAAAACTTTCATTCAATCTTCCTGCGCGGTATGTAAAGGGTCCACACTGGTAGTGTAGTAGTTCATTCGGTAGCCTAAATATAATTGTTTTAAATCTCTTTATCGTACATTTTTATGATGATGTAACTTTTGCATCGTGATAACGATAGCATAGTCCTGAGATTTTATTGTCTTTCGTAAATATTGAGTGAAAGCACTGTACGGTGTAGCGGCTTCTTAAAGGTTAAAACTATTTTATGATGTTTCTCAGTTTTTTACAGAGGGGACAGCAGCGGCCCGAATTTGCATTATTATGATTATTTAAGAACAAACTAGATAAATCTCAAGTGAGGAGATGCTTATTTACCTATGGATAAAAACCTATTTAAAAATCTCTCTGTTTATTTAATTATTCAAACTAGGAACAGTAGTCATTCATGTTGGAAACTGCGACAATGTTTTGTGCACATTTTCAGATTTCTAGGGTTCTAATTTGATTACATAAATAAGAGTAGATAATACAATGATGAACAATTTAATAAATTCGCGACCAAAAAAGCATCATCACAATCATATTGATAACTTACAGCTATTGTACAAAACTTATAATTCTGTTTGACAAATGTAGAGAAATACAACAGACATGAAGTGAAAGTAGTCCTCGTCATTATTGATTTGTACATCTGTTAAATTAGAGTAAACAGGTTCGATTTCCTGTAGAGAACTGTCGAGATTGTCGTCGCTGTCTCTCGTTGTTTCCGCCCATGAGACACGTTTTGAACTTCTCAGTGTTTCCTTTTTCTTGTCAGACGTAGGCGTAGAGTGAGAGACCGGTGAGGGGGGACCTTTCGTAGGCGTTTGAGCGCACTTGTCGAGGTATTGTTTTCTTAGTATGTACTCCCGCATCGAGTCGTGTGTTGGTCGTTTAGGAGGGGGAGGAGGCGGCAGCGATCTATCGTCGTTTTCATCACACAACGGGTTTCTCTCCTTCCTAGCCTCCTCGATACGCTTTGTCTCTTCCTCGTCAGCGGTGAGAGGCCAAGCGCCCAGCTTGTTCCGCACGAGGTGCGGTCGTGCGTGGGCAGCGCATAATATACGCTTACGCACGAAGTCGTGGAACATCGTAAGCTCGGAACTCAATTCACGACGAATCAGTTGTTTGTGGCGGACTGCCACTTTCGGATCGCGTACTGCTAAGAGAGCCTGAAAAAAAATACTTTCATTAGAGAGAGGGGGTATGCTTTGACTTATAGTTCGTTTGCGTTAAGAAAATAGTGATGCAGCGATTAAGCTCCGCACATTGATCATTCAGGTGCCAAACTTTCGTAGGACAAGATATTTTCTTGGAACCTGATCGGTCGGGGGGCGGGCCTCGATCGATGCGGCACCGTTTGCTTGAACGGACTACGGTTTGCATATTTATTTGTGTCATAAATAAATAAATATTTGATAGCCGAATCGACTACCGTGACCGACACAGTAGAGCGATTCGAATCTGTCTTTTTAAGGAATTTTTACTATCGATAGTTTGAAATAGACGGTGTAATATTATAGTCGGTTTTATCGTAACCACAGACGACAGAAACCTGCGAGGCCAGCAGCGTGGCGGTGGCGTCGAGCGCGGTGGCGACGAGGCGCTCGTCGAGCGCGGGCAGGCTGGCGGCGGAGGAGATGCTGGTGAGCGACTCGCTGCGGTTGGCGCGGCGCTCGGCGCTGGCGGCGGGGCTGGCGCACGCGCACGCGCGCCGCCGCGCCCGCGGGGAGCGCGACCCACTGCCCTCCTCCGAGTGGTACGCCTGAACACGTACAAACTCTTATAACTATTATGTATAGTATAGTATAACTGCTTTAAAAAATTTAAGCCAAAAAAATTACGACACTCATTTCAGCGATACATCGGGTGTAAATTACTTATGAAAGGAGTATACGATCTCTAAAACGAAAGGCAATCACATTCATTTCCAAATAAACCGTAAATGTGAAAATTGTATTTTTTTTTATTACGAACCGCGCTTATCTTTATCTTAATTATTACGACAATGTAGAAGTGGACCTTTTTTTTTAGTTACGAACCCATCATATCTTTTTCTTGATTATTACAATCTTTGGAAATAAAAAGAAAATTATTTCAGTGTTGTTAGCCAAAGCCAGCACGCTCGTCGTAATGCCTAGTATTTTTCAAAGCCCGACGTATTCAGATTATGTAAGTAACTTACATGATTGAGTGATCTTGTTAGTAAACATATAGCCGTGACTAGTGTTCCGAAGGTCAGTTGTGGGAATGGTTCGTACGATATCTTGGGCGCACCGAAGTGTAACTCCACTAGTGGTTGCCAACGCTCAAGGTCCAGTCCCGGATCGGCCAGCAATGATAAGAGTTCAGGGCTGAACGAAAGCAAGCAGAGCGTCGCCATGTGTAGAATTTCTAAAGTCCTGTTGAGATTAATTTTTTTTTGGGTTTTCAAACATCAAAAAAGGCAGTAAAAATTAAGTTATAAGCAATTTTATAACACATTTCATTTAAAACAACAAAAATTATGTAGGCGAAATGATTAACTATAAAATATTTTTATATCAGCAGAGTGTACATTACTATACCTGTGCAGTACATTAGGCGCCTGAGTGACAGTATCCTCGTGAGGCTGAAGTGCGTGGTCGACAGAACGACGCGAGCGCATCATTAGCGTCACGGATTGATATAAGCATGCGCTTATGCTTTTCTGAAATAACAATAAATTCCTTATAGTACAGTAAGCAATTATAATTGGGAAGCACGATAAATTTATAATACGATTAAAAAATATTATTTTTATACCCATGCTGCGAAAACGAAATTATTTAATTCTATTATGTACTCTGATAAATTAGAAAGCGTTACACGACTATCGTTACTGATAAAACACGACATTGTAAAAAAAACTATTTTTGTTTATGTCTGTTTACTTATACTTCCTTTTTATAGAAATTATTGTAAAACAATTGTAAAGCCGAATTTAGTAGAACAAGTGCATAGTGCTTCCAGATAAAAGTATGAGTATTTGTTTCAGGTATTTTGTAAAGCTTACGAAAAATTATTTAATTATTTTACTCACCATAATACCAATCAAAGAAGTAATATTCTGAATACGCCATCTTGACTCAAACTTGATCAATTGAACCACCAAGTTTAACGTCGACGCACAAACATTGAGCGCATCTATGTTGAACACGTGTCTCGGCAGCAATACGGCTTCAATCAAATGATCTAGATGTACCCCAACGAAAGTAATGGCATCGCTGGCGAAGAACTCGCCGTGTTTCATAACCATCATCGATATAAAGTCTAAGCTGTACGCGTACACACGCCACCATTCCTGGGGCTTCCAAGCACAGTTACCGTCGAACTTAGGTGGTAGCAATTGTAACCATAGAAACTCATCTATGTCGCTCATCAGCAGGTCTTTTGAAAACGGTCCTCGAGAATACGCTGTTAGGCATCTAAGTGCTGCCAGCGAGGTATGATAATGCCGACGGTTTTGAAGACAAGTATGTAGACAACATAAAAGTTTATTTATGAATCGGCTGGATTGAAACCACTGTGATAAACCCGTGAACATTTCATCGTATAAATCTAAACATTGTTCTAACATAGCTAGAGATAATACTACAGGTGGAATGTTTTCGTTAAGTGCATGCCCATTAACATTGGCCTCCTGTCTCGGTTCATCTTTGATGTCGTCTAAAAGTTTCTCAAGTTCCAAGCTATTGATGTTCGTCACAGATCTTATGATACTCTGTGCAGTCGAACTGTTAGCTTTTATTTCATAATCTAAGCTGCTTATAGCGACTGTGCATATTGAGAGTATTGCACGGACCGCACGAGGGTGTAAACACTCGTACACTATAGCTGTATTCGTAAGTAAGTTATCTATTTGCTTAGCACTCATTTTCCTGTTATCAAAGCAGTCCTCTTTCCAATTCGCGAGCATTATGACGTATAACTCGGACAGTATGACCACTAATCTGCCATCTTTTAATTCATCCAGTTCTGTAAGTAACGCGTTCATGCATGGTGCTACCATTTTAGCTTTGTGGGCAATATTCAAACTAATGGGCAGGCATTTGCAAAATATTGTGATGAAATCTTTCCATGATGTTAAAAGACCCAACCATACAGGCACTTTTTCGACCATTTCTTCACTCTCGCTTCTACCTTTGAACGAAAATATGTAGTTTATCCAGGTATCTAAATGTTTCTTGTTAGTATCAAAGAATTGTTCCAGCATTTCTTTCAAATTTGGCTCTAATTTGTCTCTCGACACAAACAATTCGATGCCAAGGACGTTGAATATTTGCGCGTATGTTCTTAGCTCGGGTTGGATCTCACTGAACAAAGGGCTAGTCATGTGTTCCCAAAATTTAGGATGTTCGCGTAGTTTCTTCACAAGAATTTGCATATTGTTTTTCCACAGAGCGTGGAATAAGGCCATGATACATGACAATAAGGGACTATGAAGTAACTTCACATCCTGGAAAAGAAAGTACATGTTTGGCTTTAGAGGAAAAGGTTTTGATTACGTTAGGAACGTTATAGATTTTTTTTGTTTTATCATAACCGCAACGTTTTAAGTACCACTTACTAGAATAGGTAGAAAATCTTGTGATAATGTACTGATAGTTTTTGAGGAGATTCTTAAATGTGCATAAAATGCTAACTAAAACTAAAACAAAGGGAAATACTTACTGATTTAACAGTCCCAAGATAATCAGCCATGTATCCTAAAATGCCTTCAAAACTATCATCTGTTTCTTTCTTCTTCTCCACCTTATCCGTCTTTGCTTCATTCTGTGCATCGGATTTTGCCTTTTCGTGATTTATCATAAAGAAAGCTTCCGTAAGACCTGGCTGTGTACCAACGCAAGTGGCTACAAACTCCAGTATGGCAACTTTCAGTTCAGTCGTCTCAAACTCGTCTCGTAAGCGGTCAAGGAACATGACGCGTACTTGGTAAGCGGTCATGTCTAATGACGCAAATAATGACATCTGAAAACCCTGGAATAAGTATTTTAAGAAATTAGTTTTGAATTATAATTTAATTTCATTCCATTATTCTGTCTAAGGAACGTGAAGTTCTATAAATATTTATTTTATTGCGATTGTAACCCATACACAAGACACAGCTATTGAGCCATAAAGAGTATTTGAGGCATCCCTTTAGGAGTAATTAACTTTTGAATGTAACACAAAAAGGAATTTATTGTTTGTTAAAAATGCTGATGAGGAGTCCGATAAAACTTCTCGATAACAGTCCATTCGAGTTGTGACCCTACCCTGCTCGAGCTAATTGCTTATTTACTTTACTTCATCAGAATTTCATGGCTTAAAATTTTCACATGTTCATTTCTCAAAGGGGTAGTAGGTTGATGATAATGTGCTTGCTCCGTTTTGCCTGAGTGCGGCCCAATTATAATGTAGGTGTTTACTGCGCTGTTTACTACCTACCCCTTCGAACATACAGGACAGGATATATGTATGTATGTTTGCAATACTTACCTTCTAAAACTGTTAAAAAATTACAAAAAGGAACATAAAATACTAGTGAAAATCTACTTACATCAGCAAACCTCTTTAACAATCGACAGCATAACACCGGCAGACTTTTATTAAATGCATGATTGATGTAACTGGTGACTTTGGGAACCACTTTCAATGAGTCTTTCTGTTTATTTTGTGCGAATATCAGGTGTTCCAGCGGTGTAACGTCGCTCCCGTCGGCCACCATAGTTTTGAGGCGTAAGGCAAAAATGACAATGGCCACACATCGTTGTATAGTCGATATGTATTGAGAGCCTGTTCCCGATATCCAGTTGGCTTCATTACGGATAATGCTTTCGAGTTGTTCGTTACCTAGAATAAACGAATTACTTAAACTGTACGATCTATTAGTTAACAAGCTTTGTTAGTATAATAACTAAAAGCGAAACAACCAAATTAACAAATTCACATTCGCATTTAGGCTGATAAAAATATGTCAAGAAGTTAGTATTACGTATAATTGTAAGATTACGAGACAATTAATTCTCAACTCAATATTTGTGTTTTTTGCAATGTACTTAATTAGTACTTAAAAAAATAAATGTTTTCCTTTTTCTTATCTTTTTCTGATAATAACCCGACAGTTCAAAATCTTAATTATTTCAAAACAGTTGTGATTGTACATACCAATAGAGATAATTTTTAACAATTCCAGGGCATTCTCAGTATGCAATAAACTGTACAAGCATGTTTTCTTCAGTAATTTGTTCGTGGGACTGGTTCGCTTCACGTCTTGCAATACCAACGTCAAGAACTTCGCGCAACGCTGTATAATGTTGCGCCGCTCGCGAGTGTTGCTGTAACGCCATCCGTACACATTCGGGAACACTTCCCGGAGAATGAGTACTAAACCAGGTAGAATAATATCCGATGTGATACGATCGTCGTCTAAAACCTTTTAAAATTGTATAAAGTTTAACAATGTGGCTCTGTTATTTTACTTATATTATTACTTAACCAAGAATATCACTTATAAAAGTTATTAAGTATGTTAATATTTAATGTGAAGGCCTTTCTTTTGGCCTGTGACCTCAGCTAGTAGTAAAGTAATATTTGAACTCATAAAAATGGAATAAACCAACATTATACCAGTTGCATTTTTCAGAAAAGAAATAAATATTTTCACTTCTTATAACATTTTTTTATTACAGTTTTTAGAATTGAATGTTAATACAAATAGACACTGACAAGCAATCCTACAATAATTTTACGTTTAGGCAAACTTAAATAAAGTAAAAGTGAAACAAGTCTAGTAACATACCTCATGGAAGGCGCAGAGCATATCCATATAAGCTTCCAAAAACTTGTAGGTGCCGTTCGGTTGTTCAATAGTGACTAGATACGAGCCAACGGCAGCTGAATCGAATGACGTACCGTTTGCGTACTCTATGTGAGACAACTTATGATTTAATATTCGAGGCAGTAGTCCAGTGTTTGTCAGTCTAAGAAAGAATACAAATCAATATTATATGCTACTTAATTAAAAACTTCAAACATCTCACTGTGCTATGGTCTCCAGACTGCTGATAAACAGACTTAAATATTTCTAAATACATACATATTACAGATAAATTACAACCTGACACAGAACGAATGACCGTGCTCATCACTCAATTATTTTTCTTGGGTGGGATTCGAACCCAAGAGCTCTGGCTAATTTATTATTACCTTAATTTATTTCATCTAAGGTTATTTGATTGCAGTTTTTTGTAGGACGGACCTACCTACACAGTCAGACCGTTAGAAGAATATATTATGCTGTGTTTTAACTTACTGACATCAGCATATAGCATACAGATTGGGATAGACACGGAAGTATGTAATGTTTTATAAGTTTTCTGGAGCACTTCAAATTGTCAGAAAGACGTTCTGTTGTTGTGGGCTTTTACAAATTATCACATTGCTATCTTAAAATCTGTGAGAAATGACCAAGCTCAACAGTCTAGTTGAATATTTACAATTCTCGATATTGCATTTAAGAATGGCAATCCACACTTATTTTATAAATGTGAAAGTGAGTTTGTTTGTTTCGCTATCGCTAATCACTAAACCGATTTTAACGATTCTTTTACTAATGGAAAACTACTTTTTACCCACTAAACAACATACACGCGTTCGGAGCCGCGGGCAAAAGCTCGTTTAAAAGTACTTGATTTCATTTTCCTACTGCTAAGTTTGTCAGTTTTACAAATGTTTATACACTGGTTGTGAATCAGAGATGAGGTCACCTAAAAAACTTACCTTAAATGAATTTCTTTAGGAAACATGGGAACCAGAGCAGTACATACACTAATACATTCCACAAGCAATGGTAATGGGGGTGTATCAGTTCTCATAAATCTTACTAATACATCAAAAACTCCTTCACTGGGCCCCACCAAACTCTTAGGTACTTCTCCGTTATGCACCAAGGCCCTTAAAATGCCTTTTAACACCTTTGTACCTTCATAAATCCGTTCTAGAGTAACGTTGATATCGTGTTGATGATGTTGATTTCTATCCAAAGCTTTCTCGATTTCGGTATTAAATACTGTCCAGTAACAATACGGAGTTCGGAAGTGTATCATGGTGCCTTCTTTACGTTCCATGATGGTCGCTTTGGAACCTACTTCAATGCGATAGGAGGGGTCTCCGAGAGGATAATACTCTCTGCCAATAATGGCATCATCTGCCTGCAGTGACATTATTGGCACAGCATTTGGGTTGTATATTTCCGTGTATACTGGCAAGCTTTTAAGTTCGGCTATAAGCTGCAAAATAATAAATTCTAATATGCATTTTAACATCTACACATTTACATATATGTTTTATGGACTCAAGCAAAACTATTTAAAATTACAATAGTATGATTATTTTTATAACATAATCATATGTTTTCTAAACATAAATTTTTATGTAAATAAATAAATTTAAACAGTATAAAATAGGTATTATTTAACGTACATTTGATTTAAATAATAATTTATTTTTACTTCACACATCTCATACACAGCCATCTGATCCTAATTTAGGCAGAGCTTGTGATAAGCTAAGAATCTGCTGATAAACATATGTATATAGCGCTAAATAGATACAGATTACAGATAAATTACATTCAAACACAGAACAAATGATCATGCTAATCGCAATGCATGATAACCATTCGTTTAGTTGTACTAGGGGGAAATTAAACCTCGGGCACGCCGTCATCGCGGCGATAAGACCCATTATGGAGGATTGGCTCGAGAGGCGTCACGGGACCCTCTTATACCGACTGACGCAGGTGATCACTGGGAAAGGATGTTTCGGGGATCACCTGTGTCTGATCCGCAAGGAGCCAACGCCTGTGTGCCACCACTGCGATGGCCAGACCGTGGACACGGCTCTCGACACGCTGGCAGAGTGCCCGGCGTGGGTTGAGCAGAGGCGAGACCTCGTGGCGGCCATCGGAGTGGGAGTTCTCTCGCTCGATAGCCTGATTGCGGCTATCGTGCGGAGCGAGAGTGCGTGGAACTCTGCCGTCTCCTTCTGCGAGCAAGTTATGCTCGCGAAGGAGACGGCGGAGCGGGACCGGGAGAGGTTTAGGACTCTCCCGGCCCGCAAGGCCCGGGAACGGGCCAGGTACCGCAGGCGACTCAGGCGCCGGAGGTCGCAGAACGACCTCCGTCCTCCATAAGCGCAGGCCTGGGGGTGACAGGTGAGGCCATCTGTCACCCTAGCAGAAGCAGGCCGGGGTGGCGGCGAGCGCGTAGCGCAGGGAACATGGGGTTCCCACACGGGGGGGGGGGGGGGTCGTCTACTCGTCTGTAGATGACCAGAGGTATGTCGGGGCACCAGGGACTTCCTTTCTAGGGTATATATGGTTCCCCGGCTATAAGTACCCGAGTTTTAGTCGGTTCCAGTCCGACATACCACCGACAGGTGGTATCCGAGGGGATTTCCGCACGGAAAAAAAAAAAAAAAAAAAGGGGGAAATTAAACCTAACTAACCCAATCAATGACATCAATAGGCCAGTCATAGAAATACTGAGGTCGCAGAACGACCTCCGTCCTCCATAAGCGCAGGCCTGGGGGTGACAGGTGAGGCCATCTGTCACCCTAGCAGAAGCAGGCCGGGGTGGCGGCGAGCGCGTAGCGCAGGGAACATGGGGTTCCCACACGGGGGGGGGTCGTCTACTCGTCTGTAGATGACCAGAGGTATGTCGGGGCACCAGGGACTTCCTTTCTAGGGTATACCTGGTTCCCCGGCTATTAGTACCCGAGTTTTAGTCGGTTCCAGTCCGACATGCCACCGACAGGTGGTATCCGAGGGGATTTCCGCACGGAAAAAAAAAAAAAAAAAAAAAAAGGGGGAAATTAAACCTAACTAACCCAATCAATGACATCAATAGGCCAGTCATAGAAATATTAATGATTAGCATAAAAATATTGATCATAAATAAACACTTATGACTTGGCCATAAATTTACTGTACTATTGAGATAATTTGATTTTATCACTCGAACTCGAGTAATATTGTATTTAAACACCAAACTAAAATAACTACTTACATTCCGAACACTGGATTTTCCACTCTCAGCTAAACCAGCCGCCAAAATAGATAGCGCACTAAAATTAAAAGGAAAGTATTCCATGCCTGTGTTCCATAATGACACTATACCAATATTCTCATCTCTCTGGTGGAATTTCCAGAACTGAGCGCTTATCTCAGGTGAAGCAAGCAAGTCGGCACAAAGCTGCATGATACCTGGTTGATGACTTATAGTTGCGTCACCATCAAACTTATCGCAAAGCTGGTTTAGTAGACGAAATATTCGATCTCGGGCAATTAAAGAACATTTAGATTTGTCCTGTGAAAAAAACCATATATTAGATCCGAGTTATTTATATACTGAGGCAATAATGATTACGTACGACCATTGATTGCAAAAGAAATTTTGTTTCATTATTTACTTTGCATTATCACAATCACTTTCTTTAAACTCTCTGTTTCTGGTCTGTTTTTATATGAAAATGGACATGTATTTAGGAAGTTATTAATTTATAAAATTTTAACTAACTTGTTTAAAAGGTTTTACTAAATGTAATATACTATTGTGTAAGATAATCTACTCCTAGTGTATGCTATACATATACGTGAAGGACCATCAGGTCACAAATACAAATGCTTTAAATGAGGATACAAAGTGGTGTTACTGAGCAATATAGGGCAATCCGCCTTGAGAAGATTGACACTAAATGTATAATATTAAAAACAAGACTTAAGCCTATATACAATGTATAACTCAGCTGGTGAACTGTACTGTGTGTCATGTGAATAAACTTTGGTTCTAAAACTAAATTTGAGATTCTCAGCTGTATAAATATAGTCATAGCCATACTAAAATCCATAGCTTAGTTCATCATTGAATGATACAAAAACATTTACCTAACCTCTTAGTTGTGTACTTAAATTTTGAAGATCTAGTTGTTATCTAGTTGTCTAATACCTTGTATAAACCTTTACTTACAGAAAAAACTGAACTGTCCAGCATTTGTTGCAGAAATTCAAAGATTTGCATTCTTAATGCGGTAGCACCATAATGTTGATATTGACTTTCAAATAATTTTACATGTTGTTCACTCTGAAATAAAAAAAATATTGCTTAAAATTATGTACATCTCTAAAATAGGTTAAATTAAATAACTAGAAAATCAATATCGAATTCCAGATAGAATTATTAAAAGAACTTAATGTTAGTCAATTCAACTTAATTTTTTAACATACAATTATTAGAATATAAACTACCGCACTAGGAATAAATCCTGTGTCGCAGGGGAGGTTTACAAACACAAAGAACGCCCTGACTCAGAACAATTTGTGGATCACACAAACTGTTGTCCCATGTGGAGATCGAACCTACAACACCAACACCTACACCACGCCATCCATGCAGCCGTGCATTATTTCAACTGTGTTTATGATCATTGCCATACTGATTTCTTGGATCAGCATGTTCAAAATATATATTAAGGAATGATCTATATGTATTTCAAAGCAACTTTTAACTTAGTCCAAGTATCTTTCTCCTAGTTTACTAACATTTAATTTGCTAATAAATGTGATATTGTCCTTAATTGAGATACTTTTTACTGCTTAAAAGTTTTATAGTTATATTTAAGCCATATATTACCTGTATAGTCAGCATCATCCATGTAATGAGCAAAACACTGTGCTCAGAGCTCATGTGAAGTTTTGTGAGTTCAGTCTCTACAACATCCTTTGTATTGTCAATCCATGATGACAGGTTGTTACTATAAAAATGTATTAAATTTGGTTATGATACAATCCATATATCTAAACATCTTGAGTTGGTTTGTGTACACCTCAAAAACTCAAAGGTTTTGCACTGATTGAGTTAGAACTTTGAAACAATATACAAACCATTTCCAAGATCATTTTTATCTATTTTGTATATCAGTTTTGTCTTGCATTTCTCATCAATGCGGCACACTGTGCCTTAGTGCAGCACTTTATTATAAAATAACATGATATTAAAAATAACATAATAACTAGGTGCATTCTAGAAATGTTGAAGTGTGAGAGTATATCAATACAATGCATTTTTTTAACATTACACACTTTGTATGATGATATGATCAAATAAGAATGTATTTATATTTTACTAGCTCTTGCCCACGGCTCCACCCTCGTGTATGTCAGATATCGCGAAAAAAGGCTATGTCCTTACTCATGAATCAAACTATCTCCATACCAAATTTCATCTAAATCTAAAGTTATTGTTTTGCCATATAAATTACCATCCCCCTTTTCACCCTCTTAAAAGATGATTTTTGAGATAAAACTATTGTTTGTCCCTTCCTGGGACTCAAGCTATTTTTATACCAAATTTAAATTAAACGGTTCAGCGGTTTAAACATGAAGAGGTAACAGACAGACAGAGACACACTTTAACATTTATAACATTTGTGTAGATAGGGTTACAGGACTCAGACTTTGCAGCAATAGCCAATTCAAGTGACAGTTATACCAAACAGATAGACCCTGACCTACTTAATTTATTGCTTCCACTCCACCTTTTTTTTCATCTTTGCCATCTCTTCTGATCTGCCTGTCTGCCATCAATATACTGGCAATTTTCGCCTTTAATCTCTAAAGTGTCCTACACTATACCCTAAAATGGCAAAAGCTCCAAACCCATTGGTAGATTATGTTTATTATTGTTATAATACCACATAATGAATAATGGAATATTATATATTAAGAATAATAGCATGTTGTATGTGGCTGTTTAAAATAGATAACCTGCTATAGAGTGAATGATAGGAATGGAGTGACTGTGACATGTTCTAATAATGGTTGTTTAAATTTTTAATTTATGTATTTACTTACATTTTACAACTATCTGCAATAACCATGAAAATACAGACTTCCATGTACATAATTCTCATGCATCCATCTCTATGTCTTTCCTCCAGAAGCTCACTGTAACCCTGATTTTTGCCAAATCCATGTTTTCTAAATAATGAAAATAGCTTTTTGAACTCAACATCAGTAAACATCGCCTCATCAGCTATAAGTAGGAGAATTTGTAGAATGGCTAGTTGTTCTCTCAAATTATAATCTGCCCAATCTTTCCGAATGGTTTCATTAGAGAAATCATTCTGGATCTTTCTTGAAGGAGGAGGAGTATTTAATAATTTTTCGAACTGTGATAATAGTGAGGTTTTCAGGTTTGAGATTCCTATTTCATCTATTATTTTCTTGAATTGCTCTTGATGTATATTTTTAGGATCATTCTTGAAGTGAATTATATATTGTAGTAGTTTTAGTAAAAACAATCTCTCCGAATAATAAAAGGTCCATACATTTGGCAGCAAGAACACAGGCCTAGTATCCACAAAGGCTACATTCTTCAGGGCATTTGCTGGAGTACCATAAGATATATCGCATAAATAGTTTTTTATGACCTCCCATATTTGAAAGCAATCCACATTCTATAAATAAACATGTAATTTTATTCACAACTTCAAAGTCGTATTAAGATTGATGGTTTCTACATAGTTTGTGTGTTTATACTTACGATATAGTTTTGTATTGTCTGCACAACAGCTAACAGTTTGGTTTGATCAGTATGTTTAGATTGAAGTTGAGAAAAACTTGCAGGTTTATGTGGCTTATAGCTAGCTAGCCCTTGGCTCAGCCCATCTATAACCTCTTTCTTTTCTAATATTGAAGCTAATTCATCCTTGGTCAAACTTTCTGAGGTAATCCAACGCCATAGTCGCTTCCAGTAACTATAAATAACATAAATAGCTTACGAATTATGAATATAATAAAAGAAACGCTCTAATGCTGCTTACATACCATACAGTAGTTGACTCCATTATTTATTAAAATAACAAATATAATCAGATAACAGTCAACATCAAAGTTTTTATTTAGCGCCGTTGCATTTTGAGGTTACAATGCACAATTGACAAGTAAACTTAAATGTAGCCAATCAGAATTCAGAAGTAATCAACCTTAACCGTCAGTTTTCTTTTTTTTTTGGAATTTAATGACCTGGTAACTAAGACCTTTAAAGTCAAGTTTAACCGTCACACTCATAATCACACTGCTTGTGTTGTGCTGATTGATGATCAGATCAATTCAATCATGAACACAGACTAAAGTAAACAGGGTTGACAACCTTAAAACTTTTTTCTTTGGTACATGACCTCGTAGTATCAAGCATGTAAAATGTTATAAAACTAAAAACAAGACATACCAAATGACTTAAATTTTAGCAGACATATGTTAACTTACTGATGATTAAATTTTAAAGAATTTTAAAATACAGTGCTTTTATTTATTGTCTACTAAATGATACTGAAACGAATCAATCGTTGTTTTATTGAATAGTGATTTTGGCAATAAAAGTTGTCAAAAATGACTGTTTAAGCCTAGTTCTAGTTTAATAATAATAAAAAAAAATAACCAAAACTTGTATAGTGATATAATCTAGCCCTTTATCATCATGTTTGACTACAAATGCTTCATAAAAAATCCGTTTCCTCGTATTAAACTTAGTGTAATTGAGTGACTACTGTAGGAGTCACAAGCGCGTTGCCGGCCTTCGATGAAGAAGTACACTCTTTTCTTGGAGGTTTGAAGGTGTTTAGATAATTCAACTTCAGAAATATGCTCACATCTAACTATTCTAGAGAATAACGTTTGAATTTTATTTTTCATTTTAATCGGCAGCCCTAATTATTTACAATCAATACCGTGTGACACTTGACAGTGACATCCAATAGTTATGTCATGTCCAACCGTTGACATTTGTGACCTACGTCACCACATGGGTGATTGCTGAAGCCGAGTCTCAATGTTTTATCACTTTTAATTTGATTGGAGGTGGATTACTTTAGATAGTAGGTAGAGCACGTGACACTTTTACTAAGGGCGAACATTTACATTCAGAGATTTAGTTCATAAATATACTTCTTGGTTATAGTTTAACTGTCCTGGTGTTTGATCCTAACGAAATGGCCCCAGCAGCTACTGCAGTTAAGCCTCGGCCCGAAGATGATCCATTTGGCATCAGGGCAGTGCTTCTTGGTCCTCCAGGATCTGGTAAAGGTACTCAGGTAAGGTAGTGTGATCTTTGACCTTTAACATTATTTGTATGACTTGACGATAAGAAAGTTCAAATATAAACTTCTTATTTATATTATAGAATTTATTTTGCGTTCTATATTATATAACGCCATCAATTCCTTATAAGAACGAGATATATTACATAATTTTTATGTACATGATTTTTCTGAATAAAGCACACATAATAATAGACTAATGTTTTGTTGACAGGCACCACTTCTTAAAGAAAAATATTGCGTTTGTCACTTGTCGACTGGAGACATGCTGCGAGCAGAGGTCGCATCAGGTTCAGAGCTAGGGCGCAGGCTTAAGAAGGTCATGGATGATGGCAAGCTAGTATCAGACGAGATGGTTGTTGATATGATTGACAAAAATCTTGATCAGCCTGATTGTAAGAATGGTTTTCTTTTAGACGGCTTTCCAAGAACTGTAGTTCAAGCTGAGAAGGTTAGTAATATTGATTAATTATATACTGTATGACTGTTTATCTTATATGTTGTTATAAGGCTCATCTGTAGACTGAACTAATTTACTAAATATATTGGAATAGTTAAGTAGACTATAATATATAAGTTCACATTTAGTTAGAGGTTATTTATTTCAAGGTTTGCTTTATATAAATATTAGTAATAACATAAATTAAAAAATATATGTTGTTATCTGCATTACAGTTGGATGATTTGCTGGCTAAAAGGAAAACATCACTTGATGCAGTTATTGAATTTGGCATTGAAGATAGCTTGTTAGTACGAAGAATAACAGGTAGGTTGATTCATCCATCAAGTGGACGCAGTTATCATGAAGAGTTCCATCCTCCTAAGAAGGCTATGACAGATGACGTAACTGGAGAACCTCTGATAAAACGGTCCGATGACAATGTTGATGCTCTAAAGAAACGCCTTGCCACATATCATGCTCAAACTGTACCTCTTGTTGACTACTACATGAGGAAAGGTCTCCACTGGAGGGTAGATGCTGCTAATTCTGCAGAACAAGTCTTCAGCAAGATTGACAACATATTCAAAAGTAGAATCTTTAGTAGGGAAAAAGCGGCCCAGTAACTTAGTATATTAAGTAATGTTTTGTACAAATTATATTTCCATATTGCAGGTTTTTTTAAAACTGATATTTGTTTAAAACTGTAGCTATAAAACTTGTCTATTTTAGAGCATATTTTTCTTGAACAAATACAGTGAACTGGAATCATATGGATTACTTGTTTGACTAATTCTTTGTTTCATGATTAACTTGTTAATCAAATTTACATGATACTTTTATCATTTGATGTGTTTAATAGTAGTCTACACCTCTATGTATTTTGTATGTATTTTTTTGCCGTGTTGATAAAGTGCCTAACCCTTAATTGCAGACTTAGATTTTAATAATAATGGAGTAATCTAAGTATTAAGCACCAGCGTTGGCCTAATGGTTGAGGTTTTTGGCGTTGATTATAAGACCCTGCAATTAAGGGTTAAGGAACAAATTTAAAATAAACCTAAAAAAAATACCACAAGACTGAGAGTTGTTAGTCCAACTTCTGGATTAGTTGGACCACGACTCCTAGTAAAGACCGGTATTCCAACTAGTTGAACAAAGCAGTGGGATCACTGCCCCGATAAATTTACTAAAATATTTACCAACTTCTATAGTAACATCCTCATCATCATGATAACCGTCCTGTCCTTTCCTGTTATTATTCCGGGTCGGCACAAATTGTATCCTTTTTTAGGCTGGAAATGGGACTAAAAGACACCGTGTAGCTTGAAGAGACCACAGTCGGATACGCATAATTTACCTTTTGTGAACCTGAGTCTGTATCTCTATGATTGAAAAGATCTATTAATTCTAGGTCATTGACATCTACTGCCTACTAAAGTAAAAATATATATAATGAATAATTGAAATTCAGTTTAGTTCGACAAATTTATTTCCATTAACAGCTTTCATAGTTCAAGATAATAAGCTCGAAGAAAGGCTAAAGTCATACATGTTTGGTACCAACGGAATTGTGATACAAATGATAGTAGATATCTCAAAATTCATATTGATACTGAGATAGGTATAATAATTTATGTTGTATTTACTTTTCATCTTAGATATGTGTCTTTAAACAGTGAATAATTCTTTATAATACTTGAATATAGGTAGACACAGGTACAATAGTAGCGTCCAGATTTATATTAGGTTGCCAGTATGACGATACAATAGTTCCCATCAACAGTTTCTTCAGGCTTTTTCTTGGTAAATACTACTATTACCACTAATAGTAAAAATCATTGTTTATCAATGTTACTAATTGCTACGTGTTTTGTTTTGCCTATTTATAATGAAAAATACAAACATGTAAGTACCTACATGTATACACAAAATTATTCCTATGAAGTACCCACACACAATACAGATTTTGAGTTCTAGAATACTGAATTATCCGACGTCAAAAAATTATTGACCCCTCGTTACATTTATAACAAACATATTATGAATAGGCTCGGTCATTCTCTCTTTATATTAACTTCTACATAGATACAAAGTTAGTATAAAACTTTGGATTCATTATTACTGATTTAATAATATAATATGAAGATCTAGGATTTTAAAATCTTAACTCATCGGATTTCTGTTTAACGATTGATTTGAACAGTAAGTTTAGGTAATCATTTTGATAAAAATCGCGATTACTTAAAGTAGGTACCTACCTATGTCAGGCTGGGTTTTGTTTGAGGTAGGTAGGAAACACAAGTGCCTATATTTTATCAAATACTCATGATTGGATGAAACATGATCGTCGATTAAAAGGATTTTTTATACATCGCATGCGCACAGACTTCGAGATATCTTTGCCAATCATATACTAAACAAGTAAGCTTTTGTTGATCATAGTTTTACATTCTGCATCGACTTTATCATACATGGCAGACTTAAGTTTTTCTTCTTAAATAATATTTCTTATCTTATTCTCCTTACATAACGTAGTTGGTGAAGGCGTCATCTACTATGATAATACCTACTGTTAAAATTTGAAGGGAATATTACTGATGATTTTTTATTGTACTGTTTACTCATTTAACTTTAAATATGAAATACGTCAGTAGATATTTAAAGGAAACTAAATGTCGTGATTATAATATAAGACATTTTACTTAAATTACAATTAATTTAAGTAGGTAAGTACATATATTTAGAAATAACATTGTATGTGGGTAGTAGTTAAAATTTATATAAAATTGATCACTGGATATTTCACAGCCGTTTATAATACTTTTGCACTAACGTATAAACCTTCAAAATTTTATTGGGCCATAGGTACTAATATATACCTACATTTTAAAGAGCAATAGTGTGTTAATAACGTTGCTTTTTAACTACTTCCACTAACTGTGCTTACTAAATATAAAATTCGGCAGACTAAGTATAGGTTCCGAATTAGCAACCTGTTCATTGCTTTGCCTCGGGTAAAATGATTCGTGGGATTCAAAGATCCTATTAATTTGTAGATAGATAAATAAAAATAATAATAAACTTCTGTATTGTACACCAAATATAATACAAGGAGAAGTAAAACGCAGTTTTATGCTTCTAGATCGCACAATCGTTTATAGGTGCGGGAATTAACGCGATCACAGGTACGAAGGTTATTGCAAACCTTCGAATTGCCCGATGTTTAGTGAGTCAGGTTAAAACGTCAGGTATATCAAAGGTGTGTAATAGGTATAATGGACGCATTAATTCCCGTACGTTAACATAATTATATATCACGGAACGCATAGATACGTTTATTAGTAGTTGGAGAGGCGAGAGTAGACCGCTCTGTCACCAGATAACCGGATCAGAGAAGATCTTGAAAACGTTACAATAGATAAGGATGTAATTTATATTATAGAACCTAATGTAAATTAAACCAATTTAAATTCCTATGCCGCAGGTAAGTTTTCTTAGCAGAAAACAACCATGAAATTGTTAAAAAGAGGGGGTGCAAATTGCATACCTATACTTTCATCGCCTGAAGGTAACACTAATACTTGCCTTTACTTAGATACATTTAGAATCTACAATTTATTACCTATAATACCATAATAGCTATACGTATATGAACATGCATGAAAAATGATAAGCTGTAACTAGATAATTGTATGAATGGTTGCCAGCAACTCAAAGGAATTAAATAAAACACAAAAATAAATGGACCGATTCAGTGTAATTGTGATCATTTTCAATAAGTATAAACTTTATTTTATACAAAAGAACTTTCAATAATAGGACAACGACAAGACACAGTTACTGTGGCGAAACAAGTATAAAATATAATAATTACGTACCGTATACAAAAACAAGCAATGAAACTTCATGATATGCTAATTGAAAGTTACTTGAATTTATATAATCGTACAAACAATTCATGCCGACTAGCTAACACATGTAATACTCAATGTAAGACATTAAATTTCGCAATATTAATATACTTTGAATTATACATTATCCATTTTTATGCATTGAATGATCAATTTTAGCGTTACGCTGATATGATTACAACAAATGATATGAAACGACCGATTTCTAAACTAGAAGTGGCTAGCCACAACAGTTTAAGTAAGACACTCCCTAAACAATAGGGAAAACACATTATTATAGTCTGTCATGGAAATTGAGACGTAAACACGAATGAACACCGAAAGCTTAACTAGCATCAAAATAAATACCTACAGTTAGAAAAATAAACGAAGATTATATACAGAAATAATACGATACCAGTCACAGCTACTTAACAACGTCCTACGCCACTATATATAGCTTTGGATAATCGTAACGACAACACGTTTATGGCTAAAACTAATTTACATAAAGCTTTTTAGAACAACATTTACATACATTGACAAATATTAACAAGTGGGGTCCGGGGCGTCCGCTACTGGTGCTAGAACACAACTTACAAACAACATCACCCCTCATAATGTTCAAAAGGAATACAAATACGAAGGAAACTATCTGAGGCACTTCGTCTATACAATTTCACCAGATTTTTGCTAGCAGTAGATGGTTGTAATCATATTCATATAATCTGAGTTATATGAATATGATTAAAAGGATCATGGTATCCGTAAGAACAACGCAAAAATAGGTACCTATATTTGTGAGGACAACCCCAGTAGGGTTGATTTAACAAACTCAACTTTGTAACATTACACAGACACGTATGTTTAGGGCGACAAGTGGCGCGCTCGGTTCGCTCAGTGGTCGTGCAGGCGATCGTGCGAGCGGCTCGACGAGCGCGACGTCTTGCGCTGGTCCAGGTACGCCGCCGGTGCCCAGCCCTCGCCCTGACCCGCTGTTCAAATATAACAATAAAATATACATTCATGTTTTAGATAAAGCGAAATAATAATAAAGCGAAACTTGTGGAAAATGTAAGAATTACTCAGGTATAAGGCAGCAGGTACGACTGGAATGAATGTAACTACTAAAGTGACGTCTATCATGCATTCCTGATGTTTTTGTTCAACCTTAATGCTTGTTCATAATTATTCATAAAGCTATTCCTTTTGCTTGTGAAGGCAAATTCTTTAAGTAGATCAGTGGTAATTTAATTTAATGCACCTATGGTGGCTGGTTTGACAGGAATAAAAGTAAAATTGCCATACGTTTTACTGTTTGAAAATAGAAGAATAATTTGAGATTTTTCATGTCCTCAATCAGGAATCAGTTTACTTTTAATGTTACGAAATGCTGTGAAAAGCCATCTGTTTTTTTTTGATAATTGGATATTTCCTAAAACAGAGTCACCGATGTATTGATACGCTCTAATAGGATTTTCCTTTTTTTTAATTCTTCATGGCGATTTATGGCTAGTCGTAGAGTAAAGTATAGCACCGAGCGTTGTTAGAACTCACCGGCGAGTCGCACGTACCACCAGCCGGCGCAGCCCACCTTGAGCAGCTCGGCGTGCTGCCCCTCGCGCAGCGACACCTCGCTGGGCCCCACGGCCGTGTAGTCCGACAGCGCCGCCAGCGCGCACCCCACCGCCTGACACCCGCCACACGCACACAGTTACTCAACATGCCACTTATACATTATAATATATCATTAATACTGTCACTGCCGGTATTGTGATGTCGTTTCGAAGTTCTCTAACTAACATACGCTAACCGTACAACGCCATGGTACTAGGTTCTACCGTATCTCATTATACAGGTGTTACAGAAAGGTATGATAAAATTGATATTTTTTTTAAATAGAAACAGAATCGCCAGTAACCGGTTCACATTTTTAAAGAATAAATTTTTAAATTTCATAACAATTTCAATTAAAAAGGACTATTAATGGCTAATGATGATGATGATGATGATGATATTTTCTGAAATTCTCTTGAAATTTTTGGTGTTAAATAACCATCGTTTCCTTCATGCCAACCCTTTTGAATCATTAGCTTTACAAGTCAATTCAAGTTCCATTTGTCAATTTCATTAAAAGTTACGCGTTTTAAACACGTCTGTTTACCCAATCGGGGATATATATGTAGGTGTGAGTGTCAAACATACATTCACTACGCCTACGCTATAAGACCTTTAAATATGACCTTTCTGTAAGACACTGTATAATAATATACACATAATGTAAATATGTAATACTAGGTACATTTATTTGCGATCTCGATAAAAACAACTTGTTTACCTACTTAAATATATTTATACCTAAGTAGGTAAACAAGTGGCACAGTAGTTGCCTGATCTGAATTTTATAGATAAATATATATTTATGTATATTTTCTAAGAAAAACTTAGCGTATATTAATTAGCACTTCATTGATAATTAAAACACTCTTATTGCAAATTCTTTTCGAAACTTTACCGTATAAAAATACTCGAATTTTATGAATTGTTTTATTCTTTCTAGCTTAATAAAATTGTAGTATCCTTAAAGTAAACACCATCTGTTCTGTACATCGACCGAGTCATGCATTCCTTCACCACTGGGCAAACATTGAGCACAGTCAGATTAAGGCCAAATATGCCTATATACATATAAGCCTATCAACACGCTAAATAGAGCTGAGAATTTGTCACAATCTAACTGCGCTCTCAAAACACAAACATGCATTATAAAATTTAAAAGTTGTTTTTCTTTTGCATTTCCATCTATTACTTTGAAGTTTGACCAGACCATGCACACGTCGGTAAAGCATTTTCATAGAATAATTAAGTATAGTCGATAGTATCATAAAGTCAATAATATATTTATAACTGATATATAAGAAATAGTAATCAGAGATCATTATACGATATAAAATATACCAATATGATATAAAGATATTTTAGAAGAGAGATGTAGCACGATTTTGGGAGTCGTTGAACTTGTGGATATTACATATACGAGTATAAATATATGTACATAGATAGGTTTTAATAATATATCTTAGTTATATTACACACTCAAGCCTAGCATTAGATGTCGACAGCTTTAGATGATTTCACGTACTTCCAGAAGTCCAGAGAAACCTACGAGTGCAAAATATCGGTACCCTGAACATGCCAATGATCCTATTATGTGCGTAGAAATGAAAGAAAATCTTTTACTTTGAAATCGACGATCATTATGTATTTCTTAATAATTTCGTTTAAGTTTCAAATTGAAAAATTTACTTTTATACTATACTATATATTGTGCTCATAATAGGTATCACTGATTTTCAGGTGATATTTGGAAAGAATAACAGATTGTTGAACACTCCAGTAAGAACATACATCAAAAACATTGTAAGCTATTATATTGCACGTCCAAAGCAGTGGTTTGTGAGTGATAAAAGCTGTGATGTCGTGCTGAGCGGTGTCCAATCACACAAATATCTTTGCGTCTTCCGTTTCATACACTCATTTATTTTGTTAATTCTAAAGGCGACTTACTGAGCACCCTATTTTCTTTTAAATATTTAATGCACACATCCAAAGGCGTATCTAATAAGAATTTAAAAAAAAATCGTGTCTTTTTATAACTGTATGTAATGTATAACCGCCGAAATATATCACCGTATTATATAAATAATAGTAAGGAAGATAATGAAGAAGTAGATATTCTATCTGATGGTATTGTGATACAAATGTAAATACAGATAGGTATATAATATACGTCAATATCGATATATAACACTGATTCGAAGCAAGCGCATATCGAACATAAAAACCAATAAGCACACTGACAATGAGTGACATAACAAACAAAACATGACTTACACGATAGTTTAATGTTCAGCAAATACAATCGAAATATCCACGTTCTCTTTGGTTACATAGGTAGGTACTTTTAAGCTTTGGATAAAAACTCAGTCTTTTCATTATGTACAAAGCCTCTACATGGCTGTATGCTCGTAAACGTTTTATTATTCAATATTGTGACACGTAAAACGTGGATGTGGCTTGTGCGGAGCCCGACACAGAAAAGAACTGTACCATTCTGTGTATGGTACCGTTGAGACCGACGGCCTCCGTCACCTGTAGAACAATACAACTTAGAGCATGGCGGCCATTTTGTGAGTACGACACACCACAAAATGGCGTCAGGACAGGGCCTGACCTACACCTCGAAATTAGTAGTCGGTATTCCGTGAGGTGCCACATGGACCGTGCAGAATTAAATTCGTATCTCTCTGTGCTAGTGTCGCTAAATTATTTAAAAGGAACTAAAAGCGATGATGGCTAACATAATTCATTATGCTGTGAGGGCGTGAAACCTATTGGACTAGGGTAGGACCTTAAGTTATATTGTTTATGTCGAGAATTTGTAGTATTTACATAATTTATACATCTAATTCTAATAAGCAGATACTGCAAATTCTCCAGCGATGCGTATTTTCTGCCACCGTTTGAACCAATGTAAGTAATCTCTATGCTCGATAAAGTTTTGAACGTTATCGGGAAGCATCATGTGCATGGAGTTGCCAGCGTAGTCATGCGCTACCCGTGACTATTTAGCCCGCATTCCTTTAAAAATACACTTTACACTTACATAAAGAGTGGGTTTCACTTCTTTCAACACTGCAAACCCAAAATTAGTTGGCATTAATTTTAATTACCCACATTTTAGTAAAGCTACCTACCCCTTCAGTAAGCGTTATATTACGAATCCTTTGTTAGTACACGTTAGCTATAGGAATAACTAATCGTTAACTAATAAAAAGTAATATGGTTTCACAGCTACAACTTTTAATACCAACACAATAATAAATAATTATCTCCAAAATAATTGTATTCCCACTGAGTTAAGGCTTTTCGTTATTACGTAGGTATATGAAATACTTTCAACAGAATTAAGACACGATTACATTGAATTGGATTGCTTGTCTTGGGAACGTTGATTGACTAAGATTCCTTTCGGTTCTTCAACACGTAAAGCACAAACTTCAACGTACACATTCCAGCAGTAGCGCCGGTATCCACCAAAGCGGAGCGAAGAGGATGTGTGTCTAAACAACCAACAGGATTTCGTTATTTTCAAAGACTACTAAAGTTTAACTAAATATATATTCTGTTAACAATACAGATAGATACTACAGTAATACTTAGTCAATCAAGATCCCAAGTACCTACATACACAGAGCACCTCCCCGCTATTGGTATTTTACACAGCACCGTCCTCTAAAGTAGCGTTACATACCGGCGGGTGTTCAGGTTCCTCGTCATCGTCGTCCGAGGGATCTGTGGACCAGCAGGGCTCATCGTGTGTGTCACATGATGCGGTGCGAGTGGGATTGGTCACCGTCGCACTCGGTCGTTGAGGTTGTGCGGCGGGTGGAACCAAGTCCCATGAACTCGTCTGGATTAACGTCCTGTAAATTTTATAAACGTAGTTTAGTTCTTAGTTGCTAATATATTACTAAAAATTAAAGACTGCGTGAAACTTAAACTTTCATCGAAATATTTATAGTCATAAGAAGTATAGAAAAACAATAACGATCGATCTATGAAGATTTTCTAATAATTTTATCCTTTTTTATTCCCTTGATCATAAAAAGCAGAAAATAAGACTCATTAAGACCCATGGTATTGCCAAACGCCGCAATCTGGCTCGTCTGGGTGTTCAGAGAGATGCGTAGTATGCCCCAGAATATCGTAAATGTATAGTAAGTAGGTACCGGTGCTGCGCGCTGTACTGGCGCCCGCGCTCGCCCTTGAGCTCGTTGAGCTGGTCGAGCAGCACGCGCTTGACGCGCTCGACCCAGGCGCGCTTGACGTCGGGCGAGGCGGCCGTCAGCGTGTGCACCTCGGCGCGCCCCTGCCGCCACACCTCGAACTTGCGCGGGTCGCCCTTCACCGACTCCGTCAGACCGATCTGGGACATCTGGGGGAGAGCGGGGCCATCTTTATGAACTTCTAAGGAATTTTAGAAAATCTAATAAATTTTAGAATTTAAATGTAAAATTTTGACAGTGAGAATATTTTTATCTTTTTATTTAATATTAGCTGGTACCCGCGACTTCGTTCGAGTGGAATTTGAAAAACGCTGCCTTTATGGGTTCAATTTCCGTTTCGGGCTAAATTTTATATGAAATGAAATGATATTTTCATTTCATTTCATTCATGCACACACACACTTTTTATTAATTACTTTCCAGTCATTGAAGAGTGAGCGTTATCATGACCAATGAATGGCACTCACTCACCACTTTCAAAATATCATAGACAAACAAACTGTGAGGCCCATATTAACAAATGTTTTATGCTTTTTGACGTCAACACAAATAATTTTTCTACAGAACAGCCTAATACACTAGATATAATACATGCTATGCTCTGGAAATACGTCAACAAATATATCAAACAATCGTTCGATTCACAAGAAAGTTTACACAGCTTTCCTGAATATCCGGATCAAATAGTGGAAATACATTTTACGATTTCAAACTATACGCGTCATATACGCGCCAGAAAATAAAACGAAAAATGTTATGTATCGTAAAGCATTAGAATAATAAACACTAGGTTTTGAGTATTTAAAAAAGAAAAATATACCAATGTGAAATCGATATTCATAGTTAAGACGGAACAACGTCTCTTGGCTCAGTTAGTTTCTTATATAATAAACATTTTTAAGCCATAAAATCTCTATATAGTATCATAAGAAGCACTATGTCAACTAGCAAAGTAGCTTAACGAGATCAAGAGCATTAAACGATACTACGATAAATATAGTGATTTTATTACATCCGATATTAATGTCGTTACACTCCTCACTATCAATTTAGAACACTTCGAACTTTCTAAGTAGAGTGGTATTTTTAACCGACTTCAAAAAGGACGAGGATTTCAATTCGAATGTTTTTTTTATATATGTTAGGCATAACTCTGTCATATATGGAAAATGTCAAAATTCTGTTTTTGTTCGAAAGGGGTTCATTCCGAAATGGTCCCATCCAAATTTCATATAGATCTGCTGAAGAGTTTTTGAGACAGACAACGGAACTCCTAAAAAAATGACAGCAAATCACCCGCGATTGCTACTAGGTTTTTAATGCCCTTTGTTAGTATTGTTAGAAGTCGGTTCAACTTTAAAAAAGATTCATTCTTGTTAAATTAAAGACTTACTTGTAAATCATGTTTGAAGTGATAGGTTGCTTTGTTGTGACTATTCTTAGTTGCTGGTTTACAGAACAGCATGGCTTTTTCGTAGAGGAATATGTGTCGTCTGCGCGGTCGTATTCGTAACCGCAGATCTCGTTTGTTTTCTGATACTACTAAAAATGAGCCCTGCATGAGCAGCTCGCCTTGCTGACTTAGATCAACCTGAAAGTGTATAAAATAAATGTCTAAGTGAACCTATCATTATTCATTATTGACGCAACATGTAGCTTTAGATATGTATTATGTTTATTGTATTTTTATTTTATATTATACCTATTTTTACCATTTTTTTTTTGAGAAGTTCACTCTAAACATTACAAACTGTACCCCGGATTAAAAATAAGAGTTTTACAACTGCACTTCATCATGACAGATTGTAATTTTCATTTAATTTATCATTTATTACATTTTCATTTAAAAAAAATTGGTGTCACTAATACCTATATTTACACTAATATCTTTAGATGTTTTTTCTTAATAAAATTTATAATTTAATCTATACTGTATTATTGGCAAAGACAAAATGCAATAATCAAAATCAATTTAATGTTAACAAGCATTATGGATAAAAGTAATCTATGCGTCTTTTTCTGTGACTTTAACAATGTATTTACAAGAATTCATGATGATCTTTTGAGAAGTTTTGAGTAATTTTTTTAACAAATAAACAAACAATTTATCCCATTTATATTAGTAAAGAATACTTCACGTAAATCCAACAAGCTGTCAATTGTAAACTTTCATTTTTTTTAAATACTTTTTATAGAAAAAAACTTCAGTAGTGTTTGAGTGGAGCAGGTGATTGATAAATTTGCGGTCGTTTTTGTTTTTTGCTGTAAATGACCGTAAATAATTTTATAGAGTCGGTATGTTAGTCATCAATTTTTTGCAAATGGTCGGTGAAACTGCGTTTGGTGAAATCAGTTTTTATTGGCCAGTTACATACCGATGTAATATTTTTACACACGTGTAGCAAAATTGGTAAATAACACGGCACATAATAATTTTCAACGAAGGTTACATGTTCAAACAGGTATTGTAATGTGTTGCAACAAAATGCAACAGGGTTATGACTTACAAATTACGACGCATGCCATGTGAATAATAGACGACTAATAATATTTACCAGATTGCGATATAAGTCAATACATTAATACGTTTAATAAGCGAAATTTTAAGACTGCATCGCTTTAGTCTGGTATACAATACGCCTCCATGAAGGCTTAAATATCTTCTTTTCTATCGCAATTCTTTTTCAACAATAAAATGAGAGTAGCAGACATTTTGACGTTGTTGTTGATATAGCATTATATTTGAAAGACAGCTTTGCACTAGCCAAGTTTACATGTCCGTGTGGTGACGGATTAAGAATACGGAGTGTCATCACCCCTATTTATCCCATGGGTGTCGTAAGAGCCGACTAAGAGAGCAAACTACGCAGGACAACAGCACTGCAAAGAGAAGGCAAACTTCAAGTTTCTCTATAAACCCGTCTTGCCAGAGTGGTATAGTAGGCCAAATCCTCCTTTCAAAGGAGCGGCCTTTGTCCAACACTACTGTGAAAGGCTGTTGATGTGTAACTTTACAATTACAATTAAAAAAACCGAGCCTTACAGTAGTCGCATGTGATGTGTAACATCTGACATCCTAGTTACCGTTTGACATCTCTAGCACCGTGCGAACTTTTCTGCCTTTGTTACACATTTTCGTCCCTTTTCAAGAATCCACTCCCAAGGATTGTAGGAAAGTGAGACGACAGGTAGATAGAAAATTATTTGTACACCGTTTTACAAAATAGTATAGTGCATGAAAATATCAAACATGTAATATACAAAGGGCGTCTATTGCTTAGAGCAATCTCTGCCAGGAAACCTTAGACTGGATCAAATGTTTCGGGAAGACAGTAGTAGTTGAAGGTGCAATGAGTTTTGACAGGTTAATTGCTAATGAATATAAAGAGGTAAAACTATATAAATATATAGTATATATATATAAAAACACATATTTATACATACCAACACATGTGCATGCAAATACATACATATATACATAACTATAACTACTTAAGTATATCACAAACAAAAAAGTAAATAAAAAATGAAAAAAACATTACGAAAGATGTTACACATCAGGTGAAAAATTGTTCGCTTCTTTAGCTTTTAATGAATACGGAAAGTTTACTTACAGGGACGCCAGTAATGGCGATTTGATGCATTGAGTCGTTGACGCACTTGAGAACTACGAGCATACAGTCCAATGCTTGCTGCAGTTTCGTTGTCATCGAACCGCATTCACTATATCGAAGTAGGTCCTGAGAAATATGTCATAATTGGTCCTGAGAAATTTGTCATAAATGTGTTTTAGGATTCGCCAACTGTTCTTTTTTATTCTTCTAATATTTGTTGTTTTCTACAATTTAAATAGTTAATTGATATTTATGACAAAATAGATCGAGTAGTGAGTTGATTGGTTGATTGCTTTTCGTTGATGTGTCGGATAGTGCGTCGGTCGAAAACACCAATGTGTTATAAATTAATATTTTTAGTATGGTTGGTATGTCTAATTTAAAGACGACCTAGATACGATAATACGAACGGTTTAAAACGCTGACTGCTATTTATGCATACATCGGTATTATTTAGTTAAACCTTATTTCCTGACAAGAGAAGTGGGACTTTTTTATGAAAGGCACAATGCTAATATAGCTCATATGCCATTTAGTCTAGTTTTTGGTTTCATAGATTTATCTTAAATAATTTTTACCTTCAACAACAGTTGATATTTTGTGATCCTTTGCACGGGCTTCAGTAGGTACGCTGCGAGTGGTAGCTTGTGTCCGAGGCGTAATTGGCACGCTTGAAGAAACAAATGTGTATCCACCAGTGTTTCCCGTAACCGTTCTGATCTTGGAATGTTCTGGCAGTAAAAGCTGTATAGACGGAAGAAGGTCTCCCTCTGTAAGACACACGATAAGGACCCTGATGAAATAACAAGCGAAACAGAAAAAAATACGAAGTAATTATATTTATGAACTGTTTATACAAGAAACCTGCTTAACAGACCGACAAAATAAATCATCTAGGTATACATTTCCTATTTGTAGCAAAGCGTGAAATATTTGATTGTATAAAAACAATAATTAGGTATCTGTGCTGATACTGATCAAACAATTATAGAAACATTAATTTAATAGTGTTAGACAAATAGTGTTGCCTGCTATAAATAATATAATTGGTTAAAAAAAATTACTTATTAATTTTATAAATGCGAATGTGAGTTTGTTTGTATAGCTTTCGTATCTCAACTACTCAACAGATCATCACGAAATATCGCATATGCATTGCCAGAGCTAGAGAAAAGGATACATGAACACCTTCAAAACTACTGTATGCAAGGGTTAAAAATGAAGGTTTAGGCGAGCGAAGCCGCTGTCTAAGTTAGTTAACGATAATAACGTGAAAGGACAACAAAACTCGTACACTAAAGGTTGAAAGAAACCAACCGTGCTTTCCTTGAAATAGGATTGTATTCCGTAACACAGGAAGCAGATAAGCGTTGCAAGGCTCTACGTTTTAATACACGGATGTTACTATATTTTGCTTCAAAATTAATTTTGTTTTAATGAAAGCAATCAAAAAATTACCTTATCAACAAAACACAAGGCAACTAGTTCAGTGGCAGATATTGATTTCTCTAGATCCTTTAGGAATATATCCTGATGGAAAGTGAACAGTTCGTGTAAGTTTCCAAATAAGACGTCCGCCTGTCCGATGAGAGCTGCGGGCAATAAGTGCTGGTTCTCTGCCTTTTCGATTTCTTCTTTATATCCCTAGAACATAAAAAGTTTAAATTAGATCACATGTAGTAGCATCGTAATGTGATCAAGATACATTTAATGCCTATGTACCGAGTTAAGGAGTGACGTGCAATGACTGATAGTCTCACACCAGTCTTGTAAACGTCTGTCATAGTCTTGATAGATAGCTTCTAAGCACTTACAATCGGTACGAGTCAAACTGTGATTTATCTTCCAAAACTTTGTTTTTTTCTTCAAGTTTTGTAACGTTGACGTCCAATTGTTGAACATTTGGTTGCGATTCAAACTCTGTGTTTTTCTTTCATCATAACAATTTCTTTGATATTTTTGCGTGTTTGGGAAGCTATAATGGTTTGTTGTTGATGGTTGAAAACACCTATTTGTGTTTCGACAGGAAAAGGTAGACTGCAAGCTACGAAAGTGGCTATCGGTGTTGCTCTCACTACACATTGTTGAATTTTCCTTGCACTTTATATAATGGGAAACTCCTGAGCAGTGATCATTTACAGTATGATTCCATTCTTTCATTATTCTCTTATAATCTCTCAGGATATTGTAAAGAATATCCTTGGAATCATTGTCAATGTTCATAGTATCTCTTAATTCTGTACAGGTAGACGATTTTAACTGGGAATCCTTTGAAGTAACTGAGCTCGGAAAATATTCAGTGCTCTGAATATCTGTATCTAGGCATTCAAATAAGGGGTTCGTAACCATTTCTGGTACATCGACAACTGTGGGTGCAGGAGTAATAAGAGACTCAGGGGTCATGTCCTCAGAAGCTGTGACCGCGTCAGAATCCGGTAAATATGTAATTTTCTCTTCCGTTTTCGCGGTATATTCGTAACCAGGTAGTGATTTACCGTAAAAGAAATTTCCAGTAAACGGTTCCATACGCACCGGTTTAACGTTACGCGGGTTATATTTAACACAGTTATTTTTTCCCACATCGCTTACTGATTTCTTGCACTTTTTATTACAAAGTATTCCCTTTTCGAACAAAGGTATTTGGTTTGTGTAATCACTAAAGATTGTGGAGTCGGATGTAGATCTTTTCAAATGCCTCTTTTTCTGCGTTGTTACGAACACATTATCATATTTTCTGTAATACCATGAATATGAAGTGCCAACACGTAGATTCGTTGAAGACTTATGAAGGTCGTATTTTCCATATTTCATGGTGTAGAAAACAACGTGTTTTCAAGCGACTCAGAGCATGCACTGACGTGCAGTTGGGAAATGAGTATCTACCATGCATTACGTTCCGCTCGATATCCTGACGCAGTCGGTTGCGTGCGGTGCATCGAATGCACTAGATATACGTACTGAGCCACCTCTTTCATGATCATAGAAGACTGGTGAAACAACAGTACCACACAAACAAGTAGCACACGCACTACTTATACGCAGTGACATATTTGACTTTCAGAGCGCAGAGATAGCATGGAGATATGCAAGGGTATTATTGGGACTAATCTACCGTGACAAACACAATGATCGTCGCGTTCTAATTGAAATGGCATTTGTATCCATGTAATATATAATTCCGGCGACCACATCTGACAAAATGATGTCCGTAATTTCGTAGAAGCTATAGCCGAGAACTAGAATTTTGGTGAAATTATAAAACAACTTTCACTAACTGATTCAATGTAAGTTCGGAATCAATACTGATACGTGTGAACGTAGTTTAATAAAAACTGATGTGGTGCGATAACAATTTAGGAGTTATTTTTATGAAGCATAAGGTGCAAAATCGTCTTATGTATATTCCCGTAGATAAAAGGAATTATTTCGTTAACTTTTGAGCATTAGTAATAAAGGACGAGTCACGTACGTAAACCTTACCAAGAGAAAAACCCAATTATAAATTTCTCAACACGAAAAATCTGGAACTGAAGATAACATGAATATTATACTGGAGGAATCTTCATAACATTGTCATAATAAGCATGCTTCGTATGCGGAGGTAACATAAAAGTTACACGGTCCTTGGCCAGAAAGGTCTTAACTTTCGTTTCTTATTTCACTTGAGATTCCATGTATGACTGTAGAGAGTTCGTTCCGTAGGTGAACGGTCTCTTTTTATTTATAGACGTTTTCGATTATGACGTGGTGCGAAAAACATAGGTTCCGGTATAAACAAAAGGTAAAATAACGCAGTTCATCAATTGTGATGAAATTCAGTAGGTACTTGAGAACACAATGTTTTGTTTGCTATTTTTGAGTAAGATTTAAATTAATACATATGAGTAACATGTATATTTCATTTATTTAGCATTGTTTTAAGGCTAAGTGTGCAATATGCAAATGATTATATACATATATAGCAGTCATAATAAGAACATGTGGTCAATATTAAACCAGTTACTGTCAACAATACTAACGCTGAGTATCGAGCCGAGCTCCTGCACGTAGACACGCTCAGTCTGCATCAGCTCGGCGAGGACGTGTCCGCGTCGTGACCGCCTCGCCTCCGCGTCTTCCCCGCCGGAACTCTCTGAACCTCCCGACGTCTCCATCTGTCATCAATTCATCATCAACGCTATTTACATATTTTCAACAAATTATTCAAGGGCTTCGTGGATATTTTTAAACACATGACTCAACTTATTACTGTTGATTTTGGAGTTATAATAATGTTTTATGTCGAATTTAAATAAACCATGAAAATAATAAACTGGTCATTTTCGCACAAAATAATCTGCATGTTTAAACAAATTACCTGAGAGAGCCCCATAAGCAAGTATTATGTTTGTTGCACTTCTAAAATAGCAATATTGTATACCTACGTAGTTCGTTTTAATCGATTTATCTTAATTAAATTATATCATATTGTAAAAATTTCAATAGGCTTTTTGGCATTTTTAATGTTGATTTTACTGACAGGTGAAGTTTTTATTTTAACAAAATACAAGGTTAAAGCGCACTCAGAGCTAGTCAAGTTATCTTAGATCAAAGCCAAAAAGGTCGCGTACCTACCTACTATTTAGATTACGTCAGTTCCTAATCGAATTGATTCCAATTCTAACCTGTATTTTTCTACTATATAAAGGCTAAGGGTTTTAGGCACTATAGAGTTGTAATAATAGTAGATTATCGTTTAGATAAATTCCATAAGAATCATTTAAAATGTAACATATTTAGCAACTTCTAGAAGTTACAGCGGTTAATAAAGACAAATAAGCAGTTTAAAAACCCTATTAAACAGTAAATTAAAACAGTGGCAATAATACAAAACGAGGCTAACTACAGTTAACCACCAACACACTAACAAAATTAATATCTAAACATAGAATAAACTTACGGGCTTATGTTGTTCAGAAAAATCTTTAACAATCTTATATCCAGTTTTGAGCATAACGTTCAAGGTATCCATACTTAATTAACAATAGGTATCACAGAAAATACACACACGTCACTGAGACCAATACTAATGAAGTAGTCCAACGCACAATCGTTTTACTCACATATTTTAGTGCAATAAATTTGTAGAAAGTCAAATCCGAGCACATGATGTCTGTTAAATGTGTGTAAGAATAAGGAACTGATGGCACTGCCCCGGGATAAGAAGGGGCCGCGAGAATACGTTGGGACCGTAAAAAAAAGTTGTTGCCTCCGCTTTTGTGCAGTGAAACAGGTCCGACTGATGCTCTACTTTATTTATTTGTCAGCAAAAGGGGCAACGTTAACTAGAAATAAACAAATACCATCAACCGGACTGGTCACACTTTCATTTATAAAAATATAAATTCCACATATACACACAGATATAAACTTCTTGAGAAATAACCAACTACAAATTAAATAACACGTGTTATTTATACAAGATATTAATAGAGACTATAAGGAAACGTATATATAGAGAATAGTGGCTAAGTCGCTAGTAAAAAGAAATGTATTTGGACGATGTTGCTACTCTACCACCATTTTGTTTTATGAAAGCGGTCTTAGTAAACCAGTACCAAGGTTAAATAAATTTTGATTCTATATACAAAGACTAATAATATTTTTTAATAACGTGTAATATTAAAAAAAATGTTTAAATGATTTTGCTCATTTCATAAACCAAAAGAAAAGAGGTCAAAGTATATGATGCAAGTAAATAAATTAAAAATAATTAATTTATATTATTGTAGACAACCAAGAAATATGACTAATATTTATATATACACCTTCATTTAGTAATCAATTGTGACATTTAATAATATGGTTAAAGTGTGTATTTTTTTTATAAAGTAGAGATCTGTTCGTAACGTTACAACGGTAATAAAGGGCGGCGTGCAGTTACGTGCGCCAGGCCTCACTACACCGAGCACGTTGTATGAATAGCTGTCTATGTATGGGTGTGTGTTTACACGTCTTGCCAGGGCGATTGTGGAGCACCACCACCTGCGGATATTTTCTTAGCTCTAAGGGTCTCTACGTTTTTGTACTTAGTGCTATTGATCTGAAATATTCAAAACGAGCCGTATTGTATGCTGTTTTTGTTTCGCTTTTTCGAAGCATTTCTTTTGTTTTCTTGCTCGGGTATACGCTTGTGAGGTTGAGCACGTGCTTTGAACTGGTGGGAGTTTTTTTAGGTTGTATTAAGAATACGTTAATGTCAGACGTACGTGACATAAACATCTTACGACAGAAAAGTATGTCTATATTATACATTGTATTTGAATGAATTTATACAGCTAGTCTTAAACTAGGGTTAATATGAACACAGATAATGTTTTCTCATAAATTTTGGACGTCTTTAAGTATTACTGACTGAAGCTTCTTATAATTTAAGAAAAACAGTGATATCACCACTTTTGTAAATTATAAACACACAAACTTAAAAAATATTTAAATGAACGAATTATGAAAATTATATAAATTTGACGAATATTAATTATAAAATTCTCTCATTACATAATTAGGTGAATAAATTAACTTTCATTGGGGATTTTACAAGAAAAAAAAATAACAAAGACAAAGTACTCCAAAATTAGGACCAAAAATACTTTGGCGATCATACAAATAATTGTTTAGTATAGAGGTGGAAGGTCCTGGTGCTTCCATTGACCTTTTGTGCAGGCAGTGCTACTATAACTTTAAAATGTATCTTCGTTTAAAACACAATACTTTATACGAGAGTAGTAATTAATAGTTTTTACAGGAAACATTCTGGTTTTGATGAATTACCAAGAGTCTGACATTTCGTTCAAAGGAGTCGTCAACATTTTTTTAATAAGTGCAACCGACCTCCTTCCGGAAGTGGCATCTGGGCCTCAATTCTGCTATTTTATGTTTACGCAAAGCCACTGTCATATCACTGACACGCTTTTGAGATGCCATCGAGTGGCCATTGGCATCGGTATTAATTTTCGGTATTCTGCACTAACTCAGTGTCTTTACAGTGGCAATGGAATGGTAATGGCTCATCAGTGGTGATATCAAAAAGATTGCCATGTTTGGAAAAATAAATAAATCATTTAATTATAATTTGAAAATGTTTTACGTTTTTTTTATTTTGGTACATGAAGTTGTTATGCATTTATCATATTTATTGGTAAAAATGTATAAACTACAACGACATTATACACCGTAATTAATAAAATTATCGTTGGCTGTTTGTAAGTGCTATTGCCAAACGAAAAAAGTGTCACTGACTTATCTATCATTGATGGAACGGACCAGCAAATTTAAAATGCTTTCTAAAGAAATAGTAAGTACTTACTTTCGTATTTTTTAGATGTTATGGATTATATAAAATTGTATTATCTATTTCTGCAAAGAAATATATTAATAAAATTATAGTTTAACACTCCATAGTGCATCATTGTCTTTACTTTGAATTTTTGTAATTCAAACTCCTAAATTCGTTGCAGAAATGGCGAGTGAGATACAATTAGATGCGTTTGATGTTCCTGGTTCAAAACAGGATGCAGTCTGGCGAAGCGATTATGGACGGAGTGCGCAAATATATGGTGTTTCGCTTGACTGCCAGAGTAGAAAGTAGTGAGTATTAATTTACATTTGTTCTATTCTTCTAGGCACCCCTCCACCAATCTCTTTCTTTATGAGAAGGCAATAACGAAATAAGTTAGGGCAAATAGTCCACTACGTTGTCTGCTAATTTCAACAGGCTTTCTTTATTTTAATAATATCCTATTAAAAGTTAATATTTATTTTATTCTTTTGAGGTTTATAAAAAATACAAATTAAAAAGCAAAGAACATAGAGAAAATAAAAAACAAATATCTGTGATGAACTTTATAAAAATAAAATAATAACAATGGTAAATATACATAACTTTTATTGTGAAACTAGTATAATATATTTTGTTTTCCTAAGATGATCTTCATTGTTTTCAGGAGATGGCCCAGCAACTCTCATCACCTTGACACCACTATAAGAGTGGTTATATTATATTATGGACCGAGATATTGGGGAAACATTTAGAAGGTGTGCCGAATGTTGTGCATGTGCCCTTGCTATATTTGGAAGTGAAGTACTTGAGCAGCAAGCCTGAAAATAAATATTGCGAATTATATATTGTAGTAACATTTTCTTTTTTTTCAGAAATGTAACATCCTGTAACTCAAATAAAAAAAAATTCAATGACTATGTTGTTTTCTTTTACTTTTCCTTTTTTGATAGCACACAAAATAATAAGTATTTCATTCATTGAGCCGCTGCTTTAAAATCTATAATTATTATTATTAATATGTCAAAAAACATGATAGAGTTAATTTGTCATGATAGATTCATTTGATGGAGTAAATTTCATCAATATGTGTACTCAGTGTCTGTAGTGTTTAAACATCCCAATACAGCGCTCAACAGTATTGGGTGACATGCAAATTATAATAGTAATGCTCTGCAGTTCTTTCAATGTTGTTTAAAGCTGGAGTGATCAACCACTTGCACAAGGTGTATCACAAAGAAATTTTAACATTTTGTAATAAATTCTTTAAAATAATAACAATACATTTTTAAAACTACTTGGCTACTAATTGACTAATACAAAACTGAAATATTATACAAATGGTTTCTAGACTAGTACATGTTATTCCAACAAATAGGGTATTAAGCTTAAACCAAAATAAAATGAATTTATTTTGTTTTAGTCAAAGTTATTAGGTAGGTAACTACCATCATAAAGTCCCATGTACTCACCTGCTAAAAATGAATGATCTTCACCGGGACCAGCTAAACCCATTAAGTGTTGGCTGTGGATTACCGGAGTCATGGGCTGCATCAGGGATATTGGCCCGGACACACATGATGTTAAGATCAGAATCACATACCTATAAATTATTGTTAACATTAAGTAAACTGAAAAATTGATCACTTATAAATAAATTGGTAAAAATAAACATTTAATTTAATAGGTAGGTGTACATTGTCAACACTGACCCTTCAGCCTTCATTACATATTTCACCAAGAGGCAATCATCTCTTAGGTAAAGTTTTATGGGATTTAATAGTTTTTTATTCATTATGAAATATTATAGATAAGTGGCACCGGCTTTATTGTCTCTTAAAGAAATTATTAAGATATAATTATTATAGATATTGTCTTGTAAGTTGTTCCACTTAGATAAATTAAAATGTTAAAGGTATATACTTACTTGGCATTTATGTCATTTCTTTCTTGATGATTCTGTATGATGGTAGGATGATTCAATGCCTTGGTCACTTGTCTAATAGTTTGTTAACATTTTGGAATGCACTTGGGTTTGATATGATCCTGGCATTTAA